CCTTGAGCTGAGAGCTGAGAGAATGGGTGCTTGACCTTTAAACAGCAGATTGCCTGGGCCAGCTAGGGCCATCATATTACAAGGGGACTGGTTTCCTCTTGTATAGGCCCCAGTTTTGTAGACGGTTGAGACTCCCAGGCACAATGAACCCCCCAATTCTATAACAATAGAAGAGCATTTGATTAACTACATAGTGGAACATATAGTTCAGAATATTGTACTCTGTAAAGAAATTCAGAACAATTATCCTAGCATTAATTGTTTGTTGAGCGCTTGACATTCCTGTGGCTTTTTTATGATTTCCCTTGCCTCCTTGCAACTCAACCCCACCTCCCAAGCTATTTTGAAGGATCTCCTGACCCTCCAGCGCAGACCAGGGGAGTGGGGTGGGGGCTGCAGAAGAGACTGCGTATTGGAGGGTGTTCCACTCTCGGAAGGCTCAGTCTTCCATCAGTAGAGGGACGCTAACTGTATATAATTCGCTGCTTTCAAATGCAAGGGGTGAAAAAAGAGCATGGGGCCACAAAGGGATGATGCTGTCATGTTATTGACTTGTCATGTTACTGAACTCAGCAATGTTACTGAACTTGTCATGTTACTGAACTCCGGAGTTAGGTAATTCTGGGGCTTACATAATCGGAAATTGAGTAAGTTACACAGATACATTTAAGAAAGTCCTGCATGCTGCTACAACCTCCCACGCTTGTCAAGGGTCACTACATTTTGAAATGTGATGAAACAGAGGACAAACATCCCTTGTAGTCAGTAAATGTCAACCCTTCCCCCAAAATCATGTTTTTATCAATGAAGGCGGAAGTTCTATCAGTGACCATGTTCAGTGTCTTGGGCAAAGAATGGCATCAGTCCTAGAGGATGTTAGACTTGCCAGCCACTATGTGTACCCTGACAACTCCTGCAACATTATTTAGCAGATATATTTCTATCCTACCTGTCAATGGAACATTTTTTGGAGTTGCTTAGAAAACAAGCAAAGCATTAGCAGAAATGAAACAGTGAAAGTTAGGGTTCCTTAAAAGGATGGGATGCACACATCCCAAATAAGAATGGTTTTGACATGGCACCTAAATCTCATAGGAAGGATGCACCTGGTAAACTGCCCTGGAGTGGGCATTCCAAAAGCAAGCCACTAGTAACAAGCAGGTCCAGCATTTAGTCACTGCCAGCAGGACAACAGAAGAAGAGACTTTCCCTATGACTTCAATTACCTGGTGGGTCTTTATGTAAGCAAGTGGTCCTTGTGATGCAATGTCTTTCAAAGATGAAACTAGCACTTTCAAGTGTGCCCAGAAATATGCTAGGGATTCTATTTTAAAGCTGGTGATGTTCTGAGAACAACATATGCCCTTTCATTTTTCTATTACAGAATAAATTTGTACATGGTGTGGATGTCAGTTGTTCACTGTCCTGAAATGTTGGTTGTGAGTCGAGGCCCCGCTCCCTGCTTTGTGATGAAATAAGACACATGGGATTTGATTCAGATTGTAGCTTACCAACCCAGTGGTTTTTCCTACTTTCTTCAGTTTAAGCTTGAATTTTGCTATAAGAAGCTGATGATCTGAGCCACAGTCAGCTCCAGGTCTTGTTTTTGCTGACTGTATAGAGCTTCTCCATCTTTGGCTTCTGCCCATCTGGTGATGTCCATGTGTAGAGTCGTCTCTTGTGTTGTTGGAAAAGCGTGTTTGTGATGACCAGCTTGTTCTCTTGGCAGAACTCTATTAGCCTTTGCCCTGCTTCGTTTTGAACTCCATGGCCAAACTTGCCAGTTGTTCCTTTTATCTCTTGACTCCCTACTTTAGCATTCCAATCCCCCATTATGAGAAGAACATCCTTCTTTGATGTCATTTCTATATGGTGATCAACCTTATAGAATTTCAGTTGGCCAATTTCAGTTTCTTCAGCACCAGCGGTTGGTGCATAAACTTGGATTACTGTGATGTTAAAAGGTCTGCCTTGGATTCGTATCGAGATCACTCTATCATTTTTGAGATTGCATCCCAGTACAGCTTTCGCCACTCTTTTGTTGACTATGAGGGCCACTCCTGCCCACAGAAGGAGATATGGGTTTCCTGCCCACAGAAGGAAATATGATGGTCATCTGAACCGAATTCACCCATTCCTGTCCATTTTAGTTCACTGATGCCCAGGATGTCAATATTTATTCTTGCCATCTCATTTTTGACCACCTCCAACTTACCAAGGTTCATGGTTCTTACATTCCAGGTTCCTAAGCAATATTTTTCTTTACAGCATTGGACTTTCCTTTCATTTCCAGGCATATGAACTTATGAATACACAGTGGAAGTGAGGAACAGGTTTAAGGATTTAGATTTGGTGGACAAAGTGCCTGAAGAACTATGGATGGAGGCTCGTAACATTATACAGGAGGCAGCAACAAAAACCATCCCAATGAAAAGGAAATGCCAGAAAGCAAAGTGGCTGTCCAACGAGGCATTACAAATAGCAGGGGAGAGATGGCAAGCAAAATGCGAGGGAGATACTGAAAGATACAGGAAATTGAATGCAGATTTCCAAAAAAGAGCAAGGAGAGACAAGAAGGCCTTCTTAAATGAGCAATGCAAAGAAATAGAGGAAAACAATAGAAGGGGAAAAACCAGAGATCTGTTCAAGAAAATTGGAGATATGAAAGGAACATTTGTACAAACATTACCATAATAAAGGACAAAAGTGGTAAGGACCTAACAGAAGCAGAAGACGTCAAGAAGAGGTGGCAAGAATACACAGAGGAATTATACCAGAAAGATATGGATGTCTCGTACACCCCAGGTAATGTGGTTGCTGACCTTGAGCCAGAAATCCTGGAGAGTGAAGTCAAATGGGCCTTAGAAAGCACTGCAAATAACAAGGCCAGTGGAAGTGATGATATTCCAGCTGAACTATTTAAAATTTTAAAAGATGATGTTGTTAAGGTGCTACACACAATATGCCAGCAAATTTGGAAAACTCAGCAGTGGCCAGAGGATTGGAGAAGATCAGTCTACATCCCAATCCCAAAGAAGGGCAGTGCCAAAGAATGCTCCAACTACCCCACAATTGCACTCATTTCACACACTAGCAAGGTTATGCTTAAGTGGACTGAGAACTCCCAAAAGTGCAAGCTGGATTTTGAAGGGGCAGAGGAACCAGAGACCAAATTGCAAACATGCGCTGGATTATGGAGGTGGTCAAAAATGAGATGGCGATCAGCCTTCTTTATGGTCCAGCTCTCACTTCCATACATCACTACTGGGAAAACCATGGCTTTAACTATACGGACCTTTGTTGGCAAGGTGACATCTCTACTTCTCAAGATGCTGTCTAGGCCTGTCATTGCCCTTCTCCCAAGAAGCAGGCGTCTTTTAATTTCGTGGCTGCTGTCACCATCTGCAGTGATCATGGAGCCCAAGAAAGTAAAATTTCTCACTGCCTCCATTTCTTCCCCTTCTGTTTGCCAGGAGGCCATGATCTTTGTTTTTTTGATGTTGAGCTTCAGACCATATTTTGTGCTCTCCTCTTTCACCCTCATTAAAAGGTTCTTTAATTCCTCCTCACTTTCTGCCATCAAGGTTGTGTCATCTGCATATCTGAGGTTGTTGATATTTCTTCCGGCAATCTTAATTCCGTCTTGGGATTCATCCAGTCCAGCCTTTCGCATGATGAATTCTGTATATAAATTAAATAAGCAGGGAGACAATATACAGCCTTGTCGTACTCCTTTCCCAATTTTGAACCAATCAGTTGTTCCATATCCATAGCTTCCTTTCCCACATAGAGATTTCTCAGGAGACAGATGAGGTGATCAGGCACTCCCATTTCTTTAAGAACTTGCCATAGTTTGCTGTGGTCAATGCAGTGAAATGCATTTCTGTAGTCAATGAAAGAGAAGAAGATGTGTTTCTGGAACTCTCTTGTAATCATTCATCTTGTTTTTATTATTGCTTGTAAGCCGCTCTGAGCCCGGCCTTGGCTGGGGAGGGCGGGATATAAATAAAAAAATATTATTATTATTAATCATGATGTTGGTCACATGCTGCCTTGTGCTTCGTTTACTTCCTTGTTAGTCTGCTGGGTGAATGTTCTACAGATGGTGGGCAGATCTTCATTTAATGTGGACATTTGGACACACTTGTTAATTTGAGTGCTATTGTTGTCTGGGATAGGAGACTCACTTAGCCCACACAGGATCCAGATCCAAGGATCAAATTTCCTGTGCAGTCAAACCTCGGTTGTCGAACGTAATCCGTTCTGGAAGACCATTCGACTTCCAAAATGTTTGACAACCAAGGCGCAGCTTCCGATTGGTTGCAAGAGATTCTTGCACTCAAGCGGAAGCCATGTCGGACATTCGGGTTGCCAAAAAAATGGAAAACCGGAGCATTTACTTCCGGGTTTTTGGCGTTTGGGAGCTGAAATGGTAAAAAATCGAGCCGTTTGAGAACTGTGGTTTGACTGCATACTGCACAAATTTTCTTTATGGAATTATTACAATTTTAAAAAACATTATTATATTCTGTGATTTATATTCTGCAAATTTTTATAGAACCGGACTTTCTAAAACCACAGGAAAGGGGGAAGCCACTCATATATTTTTGGTATTGCAGACATATTGGGTAGAACACAGATTTTCCATTCACTTGCTTGACAAGATTGGTGACATTGGCATGATGGGGGATGCTGTGTTTCAAGAATATTGTTCTGATTCAGTGGGTAAATACTGGGTAGAACACAGATTTTCCATTCACTTGCTTGACAAGATTGGTGACATTGGCATGATGGGGGATGTTCTGTTTCAAGAATATTGTTCTGATTCAGTGGGTAAATACTGGGTAGAACACAGATTTTCCATTCACTTGCTTGACAAGATTGGTGACATTGGCAGGATGGGGGATGCTCTGTTTCAAGAATATTGTTCTGATTCAGTGGGTAAATATTAGGCTTCAATAGTCCACAAAGTCCCTCAGACGTTAGTCGTTCATTAACTCTTTTGTATAAAAGACTTCACTTCTGTGGATTTGTCACATCCAAAATGGACAGGCATTTTTTTGTCGCTTGGTTGTTTTTTTCTTCACTACAAGTATTTGTGGAACCTGCGGCACCTGAGGTAATTGTCCCTTTTTCTGAATTAGAGATGTCTCATTTGTCTTTAGAATATCGGGGAAATGTACATAAATTTGCAATATCCATTTTTTAAAAAGAACTTAGTTTCATGTGGGGTTTGGGGTGATGGTACGTAATGGGAAGTCCTTATTCTTGGGCAGCAGATTTCCATGACTACTTTCCCTGACCTTACACTATTCACATCAGTAGACTACTCATGAATTAGATTCCCCTCCCCCTCTTTTTATCATGTTACTGAATGCAGTTCGGAAACATGAAAAAAGAGGGGGTGGGGAATCTAATTCATGTATGATTTTAACCTTAATTTAGTTAATTAAACTGGTTGTGTTAAATACTGATGGGAGTATATAAACTACTAATTTAATTTATAATCTGGGAGGATGCATAACTCTGTGATAAGAGTATCTGCTTTGCATGCCAAGGGTTCCAGGTTTTCTAGAGAGCCTGCCAGTCAGTGTAGGACAACAGTGAGCTAGGTGGACTTATGACCTGTCCAGTGGCGTAGTAGAGGGGGCAATTTTTTAGGGCAGGAGAATGAACATCATCTGCCAGAATGGAAGCCTAATGAATGCACTCTCTCCTTGCTCTGAGAACTAAATGAGCTGATGAAATCTTGCTCTACATTTGGTGTGGAAGAAGTTTGTCAGAATTCAGAGAATCTTTCCCTCTTCTTCTCCAGAATGCCATCGAAATCTACAGCCTGCATGTGGACTGCAAAGTTACCTCACGATATGCCCACACAGTAATCACCAGCAGAGTTGTCAACAGAGCGAATGAATCCAAGGAGGCTCTTTTTGAGGTGGAGTTACCCAAGTCCGCTTTCATCACAAACTTTAGCATGTAAGGCTTTGTAAGCTCATGTCTGGAGTCTCTTAAAAGATAGAGGACTTGCTCCAGCCCAGCTATTCTGTGAATGGAAGGGCTTCTTCCAGCTGAGGAAGTGAGTTGCAACCAGTAAGCGGCTCCAGTGCCATCAACCGAACGTCCCAATGAGTGGAAGGGGGAGGCAATTTTCACCTTTTAATTTATAAAAGCAGAATCTTACTGAAACTGAATTCACCTTCCTCCAACCTCACCTCCCACATGGTTCTGAAGGGTCCCCCCAATTCCAGAGCAGTTTTTTGAGGAAGAAAAGGTGGGCTGCATAAGAGGATATGTTCTCTTCCTTATGATTTTAACTGTTCAAAACACTGTTTGTTAAGGACCATAGATGGAGAAACATATCCTGGAATAATCAAGGAGAAGAAATCTGCACAAGATCAGTATGACGCTGCGGTTTCACAAGGACAGAGTGCTGGACTGGTCAAGTAAGCAATTCCCCCCTCTGCCGCCATTGCAGTCATGGGTAAAGCCATAGAGAGGATAGATGTATATAGGAATATTTTGAAAGTGGCTTATACCAACTACTTTACTTGGCATTGCCAGTACTTCTTAGCACCACTGACATCATTCCCCAAAGCTGAAGTGTGTCAAGAAAATGAACACTAGACCAAATAGGTTGATCAAATAATCACACAACAATACCAAAGGGAAAGGCGAAAAGAAATAGTCACCAAACCTGATGTTGTGAGCAAAAATTGTCCCTAAATGCAGGCCAACTGTGATCATTAAGCAAAACATTAAGGACAAGATGGGTTGGAGCCAAAGTTCTGCTGATTTACTAGGTCTTTTCTGCCTTTGTCTCTCTTGCCTTACACTTGCTCAGAAGCCTCTCCTAAATGTCAGGTGCCCTCAGTGTAAGCTGTGGCTTGGGACAGCAGCAATGGAAATGAAGTGAAGGAGCAGCTGTACTGTTTAAGGTGATCTCCTCACCTTCTAGAAAGGGCTTTCAGGGGCTGCAGAGCAAAGGAGGTGAAAGATCCCATCATGCCAGGGGCATTTTGCTCACACAGTTGCAGATCGAACCCAATATTCTTAGAACCTAAGTCTCAATTCACTCTATCTCCATTTTACAGTCCTAGCAGCATGCCCAAATTATAACATTCTAAAGAGTGTAGATTTGACTGGATTATAATCGATCTAAAAGAGCTATTGGTGGCTTTCATGAAGTAGACCCACTAAGAGTTACAGACACCATATCAAACACTCACTGGTATTGCATAGTGATGTCACTGAAGTTCAAATATTTCAAATATGAACTTTACAAAGGATAATGTTCAGCTGCATCGTGAATTGACTGTTGTTTCCCTGAGAAGTTTCCCCCCAGCAAGGATCCTTGGAGACTGTCATTTCTGAGAGGCTCTTATTATTCCAAAAAGACACAAGGTGTTCTAGAAATGTCACGTCCCAAGTTTTTGGAAGTTCAGCAGTGTCTTATCCACAGGGTGACCAGGGACAGGTAGCATGCAGAGCTCTTAACATCCCTATTTAGGTGCTCTAGAACAGTCAAATTTCCATGAAACCGTGGTGCTTTGGCTGCTGCTATTTCAGCACTCCATGGATGAATGAAGGACACCATTGATGCCATTTACCTCTACAAGACAAACCACACCTGTCAGAATTCCCTCTTACACATAACTATTAAAAGTATAAGAGGCCTGCCTGCAGCATCTCCACTCCCGTATCAGTGCAAGTATACTACACTACTTCGAAATCCAGTATCACATGAGTTGACTTCTACTCATGTAGTGGGACATCTCATTCTTCTTCTCCCGCTTGCAGGCCCCTTTGCCTTCCAAATCTGTTCTTGAGTGTCCCCATATCCTCTGGAAAAGATTTGTGGGACACAAACAGCATCTGCAGGTGAAGGAGATAAAGGAAACATCTCATGGCACATGGAAGTCCATTCTGCTAGTGGATGGGCACAACTTAATATCACTCACGAGTTCATTTCCCAGACACACTTGAGGATGAGCTGCCAAATTCTTGCATAAAGCCTAAATCCCTCATTTCCCTTCAGATCAACTGGAAGAAAACTAGAACAGTTTCGTGTTTCAGTCAATGTTGCAGCTGCTGCCAAAGTTAACTTTGAACTCACATACGAGGAACTTCTAAAGCGAAAGCTGGGAAAGTACGAACTGCTGATCAAGGTCAAGCCCAAACAACTTGTTAAACACTTTCAGGTAAATTCTTGGAAGAGGCTCTTTCTATAAATGACACCAATGACTGGCCCCATGTTGTAGCTGAAGGTTATGACTCTGAAGCATCTTTTTATTTTCTTCAGATTGACACCCACATATTTGAACCACAAGGTATAAGTGCATTGGAAACTGAGAGCACTTTCATCACCAATGAACTGAACAATGCTCTAACAAAGGTGCAGAATGAGACAAAGGTATGCATTATAGGGACTACAAGACTTAGAATGCTTTTTTTAAAAAAGAAAAATCACTGGCCCTCCTATTCTAGCTTGACTGATTGTTTGCTTTTGTGGCTCTTATTTAGGCCCACATTTCATTTAAACCAACCATAGATCAACAAAGAAAAACCCCTGGAGTGGATGACACACTGCTCGATGGAGATTTTCTCATACGTTATGATGTTAAAAGGAGTGAGACTGCAGGTGATATACAGGTAAAAAATTACTGAGAATTCAGAGTAATAGGCATCACTTAGCTAAATTCAAGGGGGGAATAGGAAAAGGCCTATTTACAAATTGTATAATCTTAGTTTCAGGCAGCAACCCCTAAACTTCATGCGGCGGCGGCACGGCGGCAACGGGAGGCCCCATTACCTAAAGTGGTACCTCAGGTTATGAACAGTTTCAGGTTAAGAACGAACCTCCAGAATGAATTAAGTTCTTAACCCAAGGTACCACTGTACTTACAAACTCTCCTTGGGTCAGATAAATGTGCCTACTATAAAGCATTCAGAAAAGTTGGAGAGGCAGCAAAATGTAGCTTGTTTACAAAATGCTAAAAGCTCCTAAACCAGGCATAGGCAAACTTGGCCCTCCAAATGTTTTAGGACTACATTTCCCATCATCCCTGACCACTGGTCCTGTTAGCTGGGGATCATGGGAGTTGTAGGCCAAAAACATCTGGAGGGCCGAGTTTGCCTATGCCTGTCCTAAACTATTGGTATAGGAAAACGTTTTCAGACTCCATACTTGTCTCAAACAAAAGAGGCTGCAGCTCAAAGCTCCTCACACACCCATGTTTACATGTAGACTGAAGGAACGAAAGCTTGGTTACCTATTTCCTTCCAAGGTGAGGGGAAGTTACATAGGCTAAACCTGCTAGGACAGGTTACTCTATGACCTTAACCCCTTCATGCATTAATTAGATTCAAGCATGCTGGTTATATGAGGCTGGATTAGCCTACATTTAAAGGGTTGGTTGTACTGCTCATACAGTGAGTTTTTGTGCGCATGATATAGTTGAATTGACATGTGGTCATAAGAAAACAAGAGCATAAGAAAAACCTGGTGGAGCAAGCCAATGGCCCATGTAGCCCAGCTTTCTGTTCTCACAGTGGCTGAACAGTTGCCTGTGGGAAACCAGGAATCAGGATTCGAGCAGAAGAACACACTTCCCTCCTGTGGTTTCTGGCATTCAGAAGCTGTGGAGGCAGAAAATAGCCATTGTGGCCATCAATAGCCTTATCCTCTATGAATTTGTCTAATCCTCTTTTAAAAGCATCCAAACTGGTGGCCGTCACAGCTACCTGTGGGAGAAGTTCCATAGTTGGACTTATTTTATACACTGCTGTGTTGAGATATGAATGTGTATATCTGAAGCTGAGGCTCCAATACTTTGGCCACCTCATGAGAAGAGAGGACTCCCTGGAAAAGACCCTGGTGTTGGGAAAGATTGAGGGCACAAGGAGAAGGGGATGAGAGAGGACGAGATGGTTGGACAGTGTTCTCAAAGCTACCAGCATGAGTTTTACCAAACTGCGGGAGGCTGTGGAAGACAGGAGTGCCTAGCGTGCTCTGGTCCATGAGGTCACAAAGAGTCGGACACGACTAAACGACTAAACAACAACAATATATGAATACCACTTGTTTTGTTTTCAGATTGTTAATGGATATTTTGTGCATTATTTTGCACCCAGTCAAATGCCAGCATTTCCCAAAAACGTGGTCTTTGTCATAGACACGAGTGGATCTATGAGTGGGAAGAAAATACGGCAGGTAATGTTTTTCCAAATAGAAAATGTTCTAGTGTTTGTGCCATGCTACGCCAACAGTATGTTAATTACCAGTGACAATAGCAGTATCTCTTTGACAGTCACAATGAATCTTTATGGAGTCTGCTATCCCACAGCAGGACCAAACTGCTCCTCTCTTTGAGATTTGAGAGCTGAGACACATAAGAACAAGTGTTTTAGCTCCTTAGAGCCTTGCTCATTTACAGTAGTTTGGACTTAGTCCCTGTCCTATTTTTCAACCCCACTGCCTCCTTGGCTGTTTATGCAAGATAGCCTTTAAAGTAAGGAAAGCAGTATTGTAGGACTGCTAATTCCCAGGGTCCACACATTCCGTTGTTCTCTCACTGGTACAATAGGTTTTGCTGGCTTTTGTAGCACCTCAAGCATCTCCCAGGAAAAGCTAGGCCACATTCTGGAAATCAGTTGGGTCTGCGTGTGCAGAAAGCACTGGAGATGCATCACCCCTATTGCTACAACCCTAGAATTGCCTTTCTGGGAGGAATCTCAAGGGGCAAGAGAGGTACAGCAGTGCATGATGTGTAACGACACATTGCCACACATTCTCTTGACTGAATTTACTTTAGAAGACCAGCAGCAGAGCATGTAAATTCTACTACAGTCTGAAACCAGCCACACAATACCACCTCATCAAGTAAATTTCCCAGATAAATTGCTATCTGTCATGTCAATTTACTTAAGAGAAGGCTACAAGCATGCTGTTTAAAGAGGACATAGTCCCTTGTCTTGTCTTTTTTTTCTAGACCTTAGCAAATGATATTAAAGAGGGATATTAATGGCCTAGAATGAAATTTAAAATGGGAACCAAATCAGTCACAACACAGACCAAAGCAGTTGTTCTGGGACACACCTTGCCCACAGCAACTTCTACATGCAGGGTTCTTCAACCGGCTTCATGGGCTAATTTTTTTTTCCTGCACAAAACCACTTCCATATTGGGGGAAAAAAGAAAAATGCATAGTTGTTTGGCTGCAGTTCTGTGTCCACTTACTGGGGAATAAGTTCCATTAAATACAGGGGACTTCTATATGAGCAGACATGCAAAGGATTAGGCTGCTAGACCCACACTCTGCAGAAATATTTATTTAAATATAAGTCTAATGTTAAGTTTCTGATTCTGTGACTGGAAATTACATTGCTTTATTACTTTTTATAGACAAAAGAGGCAATGAAAAAGATTTTGGAAGACCTTAATCCTGAAGATTACTTTAGCTTAGTTCTCTTTAGTGGAACTGTGAGGTTATGGACTTCATCTTTGTTGCAAGCTACAGAGGAGAACGTGGAACGGGCTAAACGACATGTTGAGACCATTTCTGCTGGAGGAAGTAAGTTTGTCAACTGAACAGACTTGTCAAGTTTTTCAGCAGAGTTTTAATCAGAAATGCTCACTGCAGTATATTTTTAAAGTCCATACCTAATTCTCAGGTGTTCGGTTTTTCATTCAACAGCTTCTTATTTTTTATGCTCAGAAATATGACCATATTCCTCCTCTATAATTGTTCAGTGTATTAACTCCCATTTGCATACCGTATGTCTAAACTTGCTCGTCTCTTGATTTTTCTTTGTGGACTTAGTGCTATTTTATTTTCTTTAAGCCATAGATTTCTACTAGTCTAGGTCTTTTTGCTTTCTTTCCCCATATCCCCAGGGCAACATCTTGCCTTCGATGCAGGAGCAAATGCCCACCAAGGTGCCAAGTCAAGATATTTTGGCACAAGAAATAGAATATCCCACAAGGGCCTCTCCTCCCACCCAAGCATTTAAACATTGCAGTAATAATGCAAGACATGCCAAAGCACTTTATTAAGAAGTCAAACAACCCTTAGACATGAGAAAAGGCCCATCAGAAATCGATATCATTATCCACCCTAGCGCCTAGTTTCTAGAGCATTTTTCTAAGGCCTGGGTTAAAACTCCGCCAGACCTTGGCAAACTGGAACACACATAAAAGATGGGCTGGGTGAAAATAAAGCCTTTATTTATTTATTTATTTATTTATTTAACAGCAAAATTAAGATTGAATGAAATTAATTTGCCTGTTTCTCTTAATTCAGTTGTGAAACTATTGACTGTACCCAGTGATTTCAGTAACTTTGCATTTATTTCTTTTGTGTTTGTCTTCTTTGTATGTTCAAAACTCATGGACTGGATTTCACAATATTGCAAATAAGAAATGAAATAACCATTAATTGGCTGCCTTTTCAAGACAGTCTAACTGTTGGGATGGCCCTGCCTGTCTCTCTCCTTCCATACCTTTGAAGCCTCCTCACTAGATCTCTGAAGAACAATATAAATCTCTGGTCAAATCCACTGACCTGTTTTATTTCCCATTACAGCAACAGATATTAATGGTGCTCTTCAGAAGGCAATACACTCACTGGACAAAGACACCACAGCTGAGCTATTGCCAGACCAAAGCATTTCCATGATAATTTTGCTGACAGACGGTCAACCTACTACTGGTGAGTTAGAAACAGCAAAGCCACACATTCTGCTATTATTTTCATTTATATTTTTTATTTTTAATGCATACTTATCAACAATTACTTTAATTAGACATTTTCTCTCTCTCTCTCTCTCTCTGTGTGTGTGTGTGTGTGTGTGTGTGTGACCCCCTTTTCAAGCTCCTACTTCTCTTTCTCTTCAACAATTGGCCGTTTCAAACCTTCCAGTAAAGATTCTCCCAATATCTTTGGATTTGGTTTTTACGAGCCCCTTAAACATTCAACATATCCATACAATTGACAAAGAGATAATCAAATAAGCAAAAAAGTCTAAACAGAGGGAGGAGGATGCTAAACAGAGAGGAGTGAAAAATCACACACAGACTGATCCTCAACAGAACTTTTTTCAAGCAGTTACAGCCTAAGTGGGAACACAGAATATCCTCCAGACATCAGCTTGCCGTATAAGTCTACAAATTTTTCTCATGTTTTATAACTGTCTTTCATAACTTTATTTACTTCGGACTCACTAGATTGTTTGAAGTTCTACTCATGAGTGTGAGATGGCGGAAAATATAGCCTTTATCTGACTACAATATAGTATTCTTGCAGTTTCTCAGTAAGAAACAGGAAATCCTAAATACAAAACATTTTTCTTGGTACAGAAGAAATATGTATTATAGTTGAACACAAATATCCAATATTTGCTTCTAAGTTTTTTCTTTAATTGAAAAGTCAGTGGGTGTTTGTAAACTCATTAATTTTGTTATACTCCCAACATCTGCTTGTTTCTTTCAAAATGCAGCATATTTAATTGTTTTATCAGTGGCTGGGGTGTGTTCACATTTTATACCCATATATGACAGGTGAAACAAGCATTGATAGGATTCAAAGAAACATACAGGAAGCTAATGAGGGGAAGTACTTCCTCTACTGCCTTGGCTTTGGATTTGACGTCAGCTACACATTTTTGGAGAAGATGGCTTTAGAAAATGGGGGAGTGGCTCGCCGTATCTACGAGGACTCAGATGCAGCCTTGCAGCTCCAGGTAGGCGAGAAACAACAATCAAAACATATACATATATTTTAAATGAAGAATCTCAAAACTGTCTTCAGGTAGGCCAAAATAGTTCTCTATGGAAAGGAATTCAGTGTTGTGCTATAAGTTAAAAGGTAGGTAAAGGACCCCTGGATAGTTAAGTGCAGTCAGAGGCGACTATGGGGAACAGCGCTCATCTCACTTTCAGGCCGAGGGAGCCAGCGTTTGTCCACAGACAGCTTTCCAGGTCATGTGGCCAGCATGACTAAACCGCTTCTGGCACAACAGAGCACCATGACGGAAACTCGAGCGCACGAAAACCCTGTTTACCTTCCCACTGCAGCGATACCTATTTATCTACTTGCACTGGCATGCTTTTGAACTGCTAGGTTGGCAGGAGCTGGAACAGAGCAATGGGAGCTCACCCTGTTGCAGGGATTCGAACCGCCAACCTTCTGACTGGCAAGCCCAAGAGGCTCAGTGGTTTAGACCATGGCGCCACTGCGTCCCTTGTTGTGCTATAGAAAACATTCCGTCAACACGGAGCCTTCCCTTTTCTGCTTCCTATGCATGCTGTTCTGGGGGTTCTCCTGAGCACCCCAGAGCCAATTTTGGAGGGTGTGGGGGCACATGGAGGAAGGAGAGTGGGGGAGAGTCTCATTGCATTAACAGAAGTATTTGTGCAGGCTTCTGACAATGGGATTTGTTCCTATGGTTACATATTCTGTCTGTATCATTCAAGGGCTTTTATCAAGAGGTAGCTACGCCTATCCTGAAAGAGATTGAAATGAAGTACCCAGACAATGCCGTACTGGAAATAACTCAGAATAATTTCAAGTTGCTCTTTGATGGCTCTGAAATTGTTGTAGCTGGAAAGCTTAGCAATGATGTTGACGATCTTCCTGTGGAAATTAAGGCTAAAGGAGTGAGTACTGAGGGGGGGCGGGAATGGCTTCTTTTGTATGAACAACTTTGGGCTGCATACAATGTTGGGTCCCCAACATTCTGTGGTATATTATCCTGCTTTGAAACTAAAAACTCTGAGCCAGGTATGTCCCCTCAAAGAAGCTCATCAACAATTTTGGCTACCAAAGCTCAACCACTTTGAACTGAACCTGAGTCTCTTAGGAGTTGGCTACCCCTGCTCTATTCTTTTCCTTTTATGTTTTTTTTAAAGTATTTGAAATTCTTTAAAGGGAAAAAATCCTTCATCTAAATATCCCAGGGAAGCTCACAATAGAAAAATACGAAATGAGAATACAAAATACATAATAAAACAGATATAAAAACAAACCATTGACGCTCCGTCCCACAAACACATTTAAGAAGGCATAGAAGGTTAATCAGCCGAATGCCTGTTGAAAAGAAACATTTTTGCCTGGCGAGTAAAGATATGCAACCAGGGGTGTAGCAGGGAGGGGGCTGATGGGGCAATCACTCCAGGCACATGGGGGGGGCTGCTCCAGCCCCCTTCCCTGATCCAGCTCTGAAATGCTTTGCAAGACCCCTCAGGGAGGGCAGCATGAGGGGGACACTGCAGTCATGCACCCTTGAATCCCAGCCTCTCCACAAAAACATGAGCTCACAATTGTCTTGTTTCTATTGTTTTATTAATCATTTGTTCATTTTATGAATGCAATAGATGTCTACTCTTCTCTCTCCCCTCCAATTTTAAAAGTTTGCTTAAATAGGTTTTCCCCTCTAACATCAGTTTGTGTAGAAAACAGTACGTGTTGCTTATACAGTGGTACTTCAGGTTAAGTACCTAATTCGTTCCAGAGGTCCATTCTTAACCTGAAACTGTTCTTAACCTGAAGCACCACTTTAGCTAATGGGGCCTCCTGCTGCTGCTGCGCCGCCGGAGCACAATTTCTGTTCTCATCCTGAAGCAAAGTTCTTAACCCGAGGTACTATTTCTGGGTTAGCGGAGTCTGTAACCTGAAGCATATGTAACCTGAAGTGTATGTAACCACTGTATTCAGATTGAGTGTTACTTTGAATAACTTGCACTCCCCGCTTGCTTTCCAGCATGCCAGTGAAATTACTCTTAAAGAAGAAGCAAATATAAGAGAAAAGGAGCAAGTATTTCAGCATCAGAAATACATCTTCGGCAATTTCATTGAGAGATTATGGGCCTACTTGACAATTCAACAGCTACTAGAAAAATCGTAAGCTAATAATAGTGTGGCAAGCTACCCCAATCTCTAAGCAGTGTGAGATTACAGGGGTTCTGTGTGCTTACCTAGGGTTCATGCTTCCCTTGGAATGAGACTGTGGTGTCTTTATGATACCTTAGTTGTCAAATGGAATCAGTTCCAGAAATCTGTTCGACTTCTGAAACCGTTCAACAACCAAAGTACAGCTTCCAGTTGGCTGCAGGAGCATCCTGCACTCAATAGAAAGCCGTGTCAGATGTTCGGGGTCCAAAGAACGTTTGCAAACCGGAACACTCACTTCCGGGTTTGCAGCATTCAGGAGCCAAAACATTCGGCTACAGAAGCGTTCAGGATCCAAGGTATGACTGTATATGGTTTATTTACACATACATACAAACACAGCCTCTGATGGAGGGGTTCACAGCATTAACTCCTCAAGAGGATTATTCTTCTCCTATAGCCACAACCTTGGATCCCAACAGAAATCAGGCATGGCTCTCTCTCTGCCTTCCCACCCCACAGCTTTGCTTCCAGATTCTAGCTCCCATAACTTAACTCCCAACCATGGCCTTTATCTTTCTAACTACCAGCAAGTTGTGGGGGGAGGGGCACCCATTTGCTATCTGGCACATATCCACTTCTTTTGTTACCTTAACAGTCCATGACCTCACCAGGAAGCTAGCCTGGCTATTCCAGGAATTTGAATCCTTGATTCATTTTTAACACTTGCTGGATCCAGGGATTAGAAGGGTCTCGGCATACAGCCTACTCCCTCGCAACTCATAACACAATGTAAAGTGAGTAATAGTTGCTTAGTGACTTGAGAAACACTTCCTTCTGCAAGATCTAGGCTCATGCTGATAATCCCTTGGCTTTCATTATTGCAGTCACATCCATACCATATATCTAAAATTGATATTTTATTGAATTTTTTTCAACTACAAAGCAATAAAGTGGTGCGAAAAGGGAAAAAAGAACAAAGAACACACAACTGTGTAAAGGAGGGGGGAAATTATACGAATATTTACAAAAAATACTCTAACTCATACATTCTTTTATATATTTGATATTGTTATCCTAATACTAATGTAAATATATATTTAAAGCACATAATTTCCTCCACAGAATCCCAGGAATATAGTTTGTTATAGGTTCTGGGATTTGTGAGGAAAATTACATTCACAGAATTCTTTGGGAGAAGCCATGACTGTATAAATGTGCTTTAAATATATTGTGTGGCTATGTCTGTTTCAGTGAGAGGGTGTAAATCATAGCAGGTTGTATCAAACTCAATTACTGTGCACATGAAACAATGTCTGCAAGCACAGCACAACTCCTCCCCATCTTCTCCCCTTGCTTGCCCCCCAAATCTATTCTGGGTCCCCCCCCCAAACCCTTCAGAGCAGGTTAGAGGCTGGTGTAGGGGGCCCATGGGGGTAGGAGAAGGAGGGGAAGTCCTGTTACATTTGTGGGTGTTGTTCTGTGTGTGCAGTTATCTAGTTGGATACAAGCCAACATTCCTAACATAAAACCCAACACATATACGTAAGTCTCTGTATTTTGTTTCACTGGATCATGTGTAGAAAGCAGACAGTGCAGATTTTGCCTCTGTATCCTAGTGCTTCAGCTGATGGAGAACAGCGGGAAAACCTGGAAGCTCAAGTTTTGAACATCTCCTTGAAGTTTGGATTTGTTACACCCCTCACTTCCATGGTAGTCACCAAACCTGATGCTCAAGAGGTGGCAAACAAGCCTACAGAGGCAGGTAAACCAGAACAAATTGCTCCCATCTCAAACTGAAGTGATAGATGCATTTATCTTTTGAATCTCATCCAAGTTCAGTGCTAGAAGAATGAGTTGAGAGTTCTGGCTATGTAGGCGTGTTGGGAGAGTGGTAAAACAGTCAGATAGAAGTATAACTATTGAGACAAGGATAATGATAAATGTAGCTTATAATTATGTGAAGAAAGGTGAAGTCACTGATGTGATAGCACTGGTATCTTACTGGTGCTGAATATACCTTTCATAGAATCATAAAACTGTAGAGTTTGAAGGGATGCCAGAAAACACAAAGAAAGCAAAACATCTAACCTATGTTTAAAAACTTCCAATGAAGGAAAGTCAACCACTTTCCAAGGGAGTCCATTCCAGTGCGGTCAGAAATTCTTCATGATGTTTATTTGGAATCTCCTTTATTGTCATTTGAATCCATTGGTTCATTGGTTTCTGGAGCTGCAGAAAACAAGCTTGCTCCATCTTCCACGTGACAGCCCTTCAGATAGTTGAAAATGGCTGTCAAATCACCTCTTAGTCTTCTCTTCTCCCATCTTAACACCCAGTACCCTCAATCATTTCTCATAAGGCTTGGTGGCCAGACCCTTGATCATCTTGGTTACCCTCCTCTGCACATGTTCCAGCTTGCCAATATCCTTCTTAAACTGTGATGCCCAAAACTGGACACAGGACTCCAGGTGTGGTCTGACCAAGGCAGAATAGAGTAAGACTATTACTTCCCCTTGGGGACACGGGTGGCGCTGTGGGTTAAACCACAGAGCCTAGGACTTGCTGATCAGAAGGTCGGCGGTTTGAATCCCCGCGACGGGGTGAGCTCCCGTTGGTCAGTCCCTGCTCCTGCCAACCTAGCAGATCAAAAAGCACGTCAAAGTGCAAGTAGATAAATAGGTACCACTCCGGTGGGAAGGTAAAGGGCTTTTCTGTGCGCCGCTCTGGTTCGCCAGAAGCAGCTTAGTCATGCTGGCCACATGACCCGGAAGCTGTACGCCGGCTCCCTCGGCCAATAAAGCGAGATGAGCGCTGCAACCCCAAAGTTGGTCACAACTGGACCTAATGGTCAGGGGTCCCTTTACCTTTATTACTTCCCTTGGTCTGACAATAGAAAATAGTGTGAAATGCTTAGAATGATATAATAGGCAGACTCTTTGGCATTATTCCTGATCTGGTTTGTGGTTTTCAGCAATAGAATTTGGTGAGTGATTGTCTGTTTAGTCATACTGAGACCCATTAAAATCCAATAACTTCAGTAGTAAGTAACTTAAGTCTATTGATTTCTATGGATCTACAATGAGTATGAAGAACGTTGATGACATATCTTTTTGGGTTTCCACCAAGAAATTTAGGTACCCCAAAACTGTGAAATCGTACTATTGTTGTGAAATAGTTTTCTCAAAAAGGTCAATCGAGAAAGGTGACAGATTAGCACACATTACTTCCCAATAGCACCAAAAGGCTATGGCATAATTCGAGGGGGCAAACACAGGAGAAATAAAAATTGAGATGGAGCTTACAGTCCATTGAAGCTGTCTTTGTTTCTTTGACCAGATAATGAGAATGTAAACACTGCTGCAGATCGAACGTTTGGTATGTAATCTGATTCAACAATTAAATACCAGTAACTTATTCCTAAGAATTTCTACACTGTGAGAAAAATGATCTAACCATGAGACTCTCTCATAGGCATGAAGAAAGCTTCTAGAATCGTAGGAGGTAGCGATCCTCTTGACAACTCCGGGAGTTATGGTATGAAATCTTCATGAATTTACTGCTATAGCTCCACAGTCTGTTTTCTGGAGTGTTGAGAATTGAGGCACTTATCTCTCTCCTGTACAGAAGTTGCAGAGTCACTAAAAATCCACCAACAGCAATGCTGAAGTCATATGGGGTTAGAGTGGCTCTGTTTCTCTCTGGAGATGCGGAGCCAGAAGCAGGGTTTCTCTTCGTGAGCCATTGGACACAGCCATGTGAAGTTGGAAACACAATGTGTGCAGGTGGAAAAAGGAGGGGAGGGAACTAGAAGGATTATATTTATGTCAGGGATAGTATGGACACAAATTGTATTAGGGTACAATATGCTTTACTTCCATACTTACGCATCTTGAAACACTTCCTTCTTTTTCAGTAAGAACATCTTGGTCAGCACAAATAGATACCAGTTTCAATTTCCATCCACAATTTCTAACCGATTCTCAAGATACCGGTAATGCTCCATCACATTCTTGTATGGTTTAGGCTTATCTTGCACTCTGCGTTCCTTCTTCTGCAGCCATTGTAAAACAGTTGGTCCCTGGGAGCCAATGGTGGCATATTATAATGGACGTAAAAATCACAGCTTTCTGTTTCCACAGATGGTTGGGCCCGCCTCCTACTTTTAAGTACAGCACTTGCATGTATGAGCCTCTCTGTGCCAGTGCTATGGGTTTGGCCCCAAGTATGCAGACAGGACAACATCAGTGTTCTTGTAATTTGGTGATTGCAAAGAATTGGACCTTTCCTCTCAAATCAATGGAGTATACACTCTTAGCACACTCAATGCACAATATTTAAGAATTAAAGATTTTTTGTTGTTGTTGTTTTCTTGGAGGAGTGCTACACTCACCATTTTCCTCTCCCTGCTCCCTACAGCTGGGTATGCGAGGCAGAGGAAAACTACAGTGGTGCCCCACAAGACGAATGCCTCACAAGACGAAAAACTCGCTAGACAAAAGAGTTTTCCGTTTTTTGAGTCGTTCCGCAAGACAAATTTCCCTATGGGCTTGCTTCGCAAGACGAAACGTCTTGCGAGTTCTTGCGAGTTTGTTTCCTTTTTCTTAAAGCCGCTAAGCCGTTAATAGCCGCTAAGCCGCTAATAGCCGTGCTTCGCAAGACGAAAAAACCGCAAGACGAAGAGACTCACGGAACGGATTAATTTCGTCTTGCGAGGCACCACTGTACTACTAATTTGATAATCCCTTTTCTCTTTCTTAATCTCATGGTGGTGAGTTTGATTCCTGCTTTGCAGAGAGTTGGACTAGATGACCCTTGGGGTCCCTTCCAACTCTATGATTCTATGATTAATCAGTTTTGTGAGACTTTGGTTTTTGTGTAATTTTCTTAGTCGCAACTTGAGGCAGAGATAGCCTTGGGAAAGATTGAAAGTGGGGAGGGTCTCTGTATGGGGTCCTGAGGTCCTTGCTCCCAACTAGAGCTTCCAGGTTTTTGCTTTCCCTTCATGGGTAAGGGATTGTGAATAGCTGCTTTATAATTGGCTTAGCGTTGCTTCCAGGTGATAAGTTATTGAGCATTCATCCTCATTTTTTTGCAGAATGTTTTCAGGGAGGTTATATAATGGCTCTGGTTTATTGAAGATTTACTCTGATTTGTTTGCTGCATCAGTGCAGTTGTACAGTGCTGCATCAAAAATTTGTTATCTCACAATTTCCAGTGCTTTTTCCTTCCACATTCTTTACTCCAAAAAGTCTCTCTCTGTGTGCAAGAGCATCAAATATGCTTTAGTTGTGCAACCTGAATTTGTCAGTGTGAAATTGCATGACACCCACAAAATGTTAAGTTCAGTGTTCTTGGGAAAGGAGGAATGCTTATTTTTTTACCTTGAGAATAAATATGCATGAAGCTGCCAGTGTTCACTTTCTGAGTGTTTTTGCCTGGCAAGATTTTGCCCTGTTTCAGGGACATCAAGTGGCATTTCTCCTAGATGAATCTTTCAGCCAAATGTAGTTGGCAATTGATATACAGTATTTAAAAGCCACTTGGCAGTATTGTTTGCTGCATAGTGATTGTGATTTAAAATATATATTAGGACAAATTTTTAGGGGTAGCAATGTGTCCCTATACCTTAAATGGCACATGTTAAATAAAAAATAAGAATCCTGCTAAGTAAAAAATATGAATCCTGTTAAATAAAAAATAAGAAAAACAAAAACAAAAAACAGAACCCCAGTCAATAGGACCAGCGATGAGACATGATGGGAATCATAGTCCAAAATCTCTGGAGGACACCAGGTTATGGAAGGTTGATCTACCTATGTATATACCTATGTAGTATAACAGCAGAAAATTAACAATTTATATATTTTTGGGTTATTTAGATTATGCGGATTATTCATACACGTTGCTGGGGAGTCACCCTGGTGAGTAATTCACACTTTATTCTCTATTAATATATTTTCCCCTCCATGAGGTGTTTCAGATATGGGTACATGTATTTGGAATCCCATTGGTAAGGTGGAGGGGAGCAACATTCAAGACTAAGTGGGGAAATGTTTGGTGAGGAACAGGTTAAGCAGCACCCAGGCCACTCCTCAGAACAAATTCAATCCCCCAACATCCCCAGGTGGGACTTGGAAGGACTTCTGCCTGGAACCCTGCAGTCAGTGTAGACAGTCCTGAGACAGATAGATCAATGGTCTGACTCAGTATAAAGCAGCTCCTCTCTTCCTAAATTTGCAGCCTTCTGAGGTTGCTATTCTTTTTATATTAAAAAAAACCCCCACAGACAACCTTTTCAGGTTTGTTAAGAGTGTGTGTGTAATATGCAGCATGTGTGATTTGGGAATTGAGAAAACTCAAGGTGTCACCTTCCTTAGTGCTTGTCCTGTCTCTGTCGCTTAATTTTAAGTCCACTCTACGAGGGCTTTGTCATATATGAGCAGGTTGACTTTGGGCCACCAGCCACCATTTGGAATCAATATGGAAGACCCAAATATAGCTTTGACATGACTTCACTGAAGGTTTGGCAAGGCAGGTCCAAACTCACAAATTGCACTATTAAAAATGACAATATTTTTTGGTTTCTACTGATTCCTAGGCAACGTTCAGTCTCTCCCAGACGCTGTTAATGAGTATCCAAGTTTCATTCTTCAACTGACTCATGAAAAAAATCCCATTTGTTTAAATATCAATGGACAGTTGCAAACACCCATAACCCTGCTAACTGATACAGACAAAGGTAAGCCTTCTAATGTAAGCTGCTGTCAACTCCCTAACTTTCATGTCAAGCATTTTGGTTGTTTCCAGAAATCTGTGTGAGTGCATTTTATTTGACAATGAAATATATTAAAACCGCTGACCCGGAAAATCTCAACACTATTGGTCTTGTAGAGCTTACACTGAAAAATGTTGTGACATGGTTTTCTGTTGCTAATATCATGCATTTGTCAGAATACGTGGTTTTACATGTCTTATTCCAGTTGTTCAAAGTGTTTCACATATTTATTGTAGAAATCCTTCCTGCAACATTGAATCACATGTCTCACTTTTTAATATTGTTATTTACTGTTATTATTTCATGGTCCATAGGCCAACATAGTACTTAATCAGTACTATTTGTTTTAAAGGTTGAGGGTCCAATTTCAGAGTTTACTTCTTTTATACCTGCCTGTATCTTCTCTCTATCTGTCATCACATGTCTTACTTTGGTAAGTTATGTACATTTGTCAATACTAACCAACAAATACAAGCTAGTTGCGTCATCTGGTTCTAGCTGTAGCTCTTGAAATTCTGGCCAATTGTGTGATTTCAGTAGGCATTCAAAAAAGGTGACAAGAAGTGGTGGCAACACATGGATTTTGTTGCTCTTGAGCTTATATCACAGTTTTATTTATATTAAATGGTTGCTTAGTAAACAGCAATATGTTTCTTGCGTATGATCCTCATATTTATTTTGACTATTATATTTCCAGGGATCCAAGTGACTGGTAAGCTTGGAGAAAACAGAAAGTTTGTGGAGTTCAATGTAATCTATCAGACACCCAATGTGCAAATCAACGTGTCAATGGGAGAAATTATACTGAATGATCAGGGCAATGTGAGCTCTTTCCGATGGACAAAGGCTGCATCTTTAACAACTAGAGGGTAAAATTTAATATTTTCAGTTTCTTTTCAGTGTTGGTTGGTCTGACTTTAAGGCTATACTTAATGCTACTTTACATTCTTGAACTCCTAAACTTACATAATTTTTCAAAGCACAAGCCTTTGTTGTTCATGCACTCAAATAACAGCTTTCATGTGAAATTCAGAGGATTCCCTCATTTTGGGACTTTAAAAAATATTGGTTTTCTCTTTGAACAAAGCATTTTAATTTCCTATGAACTGAGGTAGGTGCTTCATAATATATGTTAGCTTAGACTGGCGAGAAGCAGTTAGTTGGCCAGAAAATAATGAAATTGACTCAGTAGCTCAAGCTGAAATGTTTCTGTGAATTGTGCCCACTGAGCTTTGTTCTGATTTATTTTGTGGCTTGGATGTCACAGCAGCTTTTGATACAATTGGCAGTGGTGCCATTTTGGACAGCCTTACTGGAGGGGGTGTTGGGGGCAGAGAGTCACAGTGACACCGATCATGAGAATATATCTTGCCCCCCATACTTTTTAACACCAATGCGAAACAACTGAAGCTAATCTTAGGAAGACAGTGGAACCCTGAATTGGTGTCTGGAGAGTGTCCTAATCAAAATCAAACTATTTCAATTTCAGGAGCTGATTTTACCTTTAAATGTAAAGCCCTAAATAGTTTAGGGTCAAGTTATTTGCAGGAACCCTACAAACCTGCTAAAGCATGATGGTAGCCACTTGAGACAGAATCTTTTCAGTAGTGGCCCCACATCAATGGAATCTCCTCCTCAAAGATCTTTGTAAGGCACCTTTTTTGTTTTTACATGGTCTCTTAATTTTTTTTTAGTTTTCTAAGCTTTCCCTAATGATGACTTTGTCTTTCAATGTTTAAGCCTCTCACTCTAATACAGGCTTATATTGCTTTTTCTTTGGTGTTCATTTTCTATTCTGATTGTAATCATTTTTACCTGTTGCTGGTAACTATTGTGTCATAAGAGGAGTGTAAATATTTTTAAAAAATAAGAAATGCAACAAGAACCAAATGCAGAAATACCTATTAAATTATGCCACCTTGAAATTGGGATTGCAGATCAAGAGGTAATTCAGGGAATATTGAATTGTTACAATACATATAGTGCCACAACTCTACAAACATTTGGTATTCTATAGTAATAATGTATATATTTCTATATATTAATATTTATTGATTTATTTCAACATGTATATATTTAGAAATAACAGCATTACTTCCTTCCTAGGTTGAGCTTTCTTATTGAAAAGGAAAGGAGTCTTTCACTATCAGGACCAGATGGTATCACAATACAAGTTTACTATATGAAGAACCCTCTTAATTTCCTTGGATTGCACTTCAAGAATAGTGAACTTTTTTCTAACAACATTGCTGGACTTTTTGGTATGTATTCAGATTTTGCAATGAAGTAGCAATCATCATGCTATTTACCAGTAAGCTTGGTTTTGATGTAGCACTATAACTTAATATTGTATGTCCTTGGAACAACTCTGAAAGGAAATGAGCATGAATGTCTCTACATTTCAGATGGAGTGGGGATGAGAAGGGGAGCCCTGATTTAGTGGCTTTCCTAAGTCACCTAGTCAGTTCATGACACCTTAAGTTATGTTTCAACTGGCAACTGTCTGGTTCACAGCTCAATCTCTCCGTCACTACACCAATACTTGTGAGAATTGGGGTGGTGGTGCTGACATGATTGTCAGGAGAGCCACTGAAGATCTTCCTCAGTTTCCAGGCCCAACCTGATGTTCTTACTCCTATCTTTGGAGAGGGAACTCATGGCAGCCTCTTGGCCATGGATGCCTCCTCACCGTTCCTCACGTACAAGGCAGCTCCACCTCAGAAAAGTGGACAAGTGTTGAATAAATGTCTAGAGAAAACTCGGAGAAACACTGAGCTTGTTGTTTTATGAGTAAAACTACCTTCTCATGTTTAATTATTGATTATTATTCATAGTAGGCGCAAGTGTACTGCAGTCTATCCATTTTGTTTGCTATAGGCCTGTCAAAGGCCATGGTGAGCTGCCCCCCCCAAAATACTTCCATCAAGATAAATACTAGACTAGACAGTAGTCAAATGTATCCTAAAATCAAGCAGGAATTAGCCTTTATTGGAAGTGGGGGGTGAGATGCATATTGCAGCTGCTCCAGCATAGCTTTGAGAACTGCAGTTATTTTCCTGTGTTTTTCTTTGTGTTCCCCAGGTCAGTTTTACTCTAATAAACATCTTCAAAGACACAGCAATAGAAAGAAGATGTTGACTGTACGAGGACAATCGTATAGTTTCACAAGGTAAAAGCCACAGAAAAACACTTGTAGACTATATGAGTGTGTGTGTGTGTGTGTGTATGAGAAACTTGTTAAGATACCTGTACTTTGTCTTCTTTTCTCTGGCTTAAAATGCCCAGGTACCCTGAGCTTCTCTTTCACCACATACCTTACACTGCTCTGCAATTTGGGAGGGGGCGGTATTTTACATGAAGAAGAATGTTGAAAGTGATAATAAAATATAGTAAATTGGAAGTGTTGTTCTGCAAATGCAGCTCAAAACAGTGTTGTCATGAATTTTCATATCAGCAAAGTATTTGTGGCCCTTTAGGAACCTCAAGGAACAACCCACACCTTTTCTATGCACATAAAAATATATACGGTATTTTATGCTTGAAATGCAACTTTCCCCCCACTCAAAAATTTTGAGTCATCCCCATGCCTTTCAGGTCTTCAGCACATTCATTAACCTCTCCCTTGTTACTAGCTTTCCTCGGCCAGTTCCCCCAGTCTTTGCCAACAAAAAAAATTAACCTTTGTGAAGGAGCGGGGGGTTAACATCAGTGGAGAGGGCTTATTGAGTCCTTGGACCCAATGTCATGCCAACCCTTACCCTGCCTGCTGCTCTCAATAAAGATTTGGCCTGATTTTATCCCATCACCATTGTACAGTCTTGTTGTTTTGCTGCTCTCATGGGTCACATAATGCGCCTGCCTGGGCAAATGAATTTTGCTATACAGTTCTCCAACCAACCAATGTTTACAAAAATACATATATTAGGGGGAAATGTGCATACAAATGTTAGTGAAAATGACATACAGAATGCATTATATTAGAGGAAATTGCTTTCAAAAATGCATTCATTAGTAAAAAAAACACATCCCAAAATGTGTTTATTAGGAGAAATTTGCATTGAATGTTGATGAATCTTCATGAGGATTTTTCGTTTTTATACTGTGAATTGCTGCATAAATGTGGAAGGCTGAATTTAAGATGGGAAAAATGAGAAATGGAGATAAGTGAAATTGGCAGATCATTTCATCCCATTTGCAAAGGAAAGGGGTTTGCTAGCAAAAATCAGGGGAATGGCTATAAATGCAGTCATGTTAAAACAAAAATCTTTTGCAGGGGGATAACTGAGAAGCCCATGTGACTTTCAATGGGGCTTTTACTTTCAATGGGCACTTATTGTTCTTTTCTATTTCATTTTTAAGGCAAAACAAGAAAGATTACAGGATTGAACAGGGAGCCAATGTCAATTTTACCTGCTGGTTACTGGATATAACTCCTTGAAGAACAGCATTTAAAGCAGTAAAAATGTCCATCTTTTGTATTAAGTGTAACTATTACATTTCATTTCAGTGATAACTATTAAAATTGTAAATGTTTAATGCAGAATTTTAAATGTGGAGCCATTAAATCTAATCATCTAATTGGACAAATTTCAGGGCAGGCTTTTGTTTTGTTTTTTGCTAATTTGGCAACACTGACAAGGAACAAAAAATTATCATTTATGGTTACTAAAATGGAGGGAACCAGTTTGACAAAGACACTGTGTGGGGTGGGGTTGTACACGATCTATAATACAGTTACTAAAAATATTCTGAAATCTACTGCTGTTCAGGCTCTTGTTTTCACCTTTATTTCACACAAAAAACACCATCTCCTAAGGAAGAAAGTGCTGTAGAAAGTCCCCTTCACTTAATGTGCTATTATATCATGTATTAAATACAGTTATGGTGGTACAGAGATTCTAGATGGATTTTGGAACAAACAAATGACAGTGTAAACACCTGCCATATGATTAATGCTATTTTTAAACAACATTTCAAGAATCCTTAGGTTTCCAGTAGGATGGTCACCCTGCTACCACTGGGGGAAATGGGCTTTTTCACTAGCATGGGCCATGCTATCCTGATGATGCCATGTCCTATCAGCTCCCATACCACCAGTGTAACATGAGAAGGGGACTAGAGACAGTCCCAGGAAATCCTGTATTCCTATTCCATTATGAGGGGTTAAACATTGCTCCATTAACTCAAATACACTCACAGTCCAATTTGTGATTAGGGTGCCTACCTCACTTCAATAGCAGTATTGCAACATTCCTCTCAGAAGTCCCCCAACAGTCTTTCTAAGTTCCAGTTACATGTACCCTGTATTTAAAGAGGATAAGAAACAGTTGACTTAAACTTCATTTTTACCATACCATTTCACCCCAAAGGGCCTTCAAATTCATTACCAGTATTGTCCATTCATTTCCAAAAGTATAGACTTAGAAATATGGAAATCTGTTTTTTAGATTAGGTCATAATAATATTCATCCATCTAGTTCTGTAATGGCTACTCCAGCTAGCAATGTCTTTCCGGGGTCTCTGGAAGAAGGTCTGATCCATTTAGTTGCAGGTATCAGATTGGACTTGGGACATTCTACAAAGCAGGCACTCTGCCACCAAGCTACAGTCATTCATGGGTGCCAAAGGAGCCATTAAATCAACATTTAAGAAAGACTTTGCCCTAACCCATTGGAACAGCTTCAACGCATTAGGCTTGCAAAACTACATATACAAAAGAGTCGTCCTCATCCAAGACTGTACTCACATAGAGTTCCAAACAATCCCCACACAGCTCCTCTTCCGAAGCACACTTCTGATGAATGGTATTTCTGAAAAGCTACACGTAAAGACCTTAAAGGAACATTGAGGGGGTCAAATGTCTGTTTATCTAAAGCCAATAGATAGTACATTTGCAAGATGTTTGCCTGCCAAATGTTATGTGCACTTCTGGTTATTTCACCTCAAAGCAGTTGGAAAAGGTTCAGAAAAGGGGAACCAAAAAGATTGTGGGGATGGAGTGAGTCCCCTATGAGGAAAGTTTGCAACGTTTGGGACTTACTTGACTATAGAAAAGGTAAGAGGTGACATGGTAGACATTTATGTAATTATGCATGACCTGTAGAAAGTGGCTAGAGAAAAGTTTTTCTCCCTCATAACACTAAAACTTGTGGATATCCAATGAAGCAGAACGTTTAAAGCTTCAGGACAGATATTTTTAAAAGTACTTCTTCATGCAGCTGAAAGTCATATGGACTCACTCCCACAGGAAGCAGTGATGGCTATAAACATGGATGGACACAGACAGCTTTCCGGCTTTACTTTCCCGCTGCAGCAGTAACTATTTATCTACTTGCACTGGCGTGCTTTCAAACTGCTAGGTTGCAGGAGCAGAGTCATCGCAAGGTGGGCGCGGTGTGCCCTGGGTGCCACATCTGAGGGGGTGACAAAATGCTGTGCGGCAGTCAACGGTTGTGAGAGACGCTGTTGCTTTGGTGCGCACAGGCTTCCCGCTGCCAAAACGGTCTGCCCAGCGGCTCTCCCTCAGGTGTATGGCAGCCAGCAGGCTCCTCGCCACAAGGCACGTGATCCGCACCCCCCCCCCCGCGAAGAAAGGTTGGCTAGTTGGCTCTGCAAAAGCTCAACAACTTTACCCCCCCCCCATGAAATAAAGTCAACCCATTGTTGCAGGCAAATAATAATAATAATTCAATCCTCCCATGGAGGATAAAGCAATAAATGGCTACTAGCCAAAATGGTAGGGACACAGGTGGCGCTGTGGGATCAACAACAGAGCCTAGGACTAGCCGATCAGAAGGTTGGCAGTTCGAATCCCCGCGACAGGTGAGCTCCCATTTCTCGGTCCCTCCTCCTACCAACCTAGCAGTTCAAAAGCACGTCAAAGTGCAAGTAGATACCTTCTGGCGGGAAGGTAAACCGTGTTTCTGTGCGCTGCTCTGGTTCGCCAGAAGCGGCTTAGTCATGCTGGCCACATGACCCAGAAGCTGTATGCCGGCTCCCTCGGCCAATAAAGCGAGATGAGTGCCACAACCCCAGAGTAGGCCACGATTGGACCTAATGGTCAGGGTCCCTTTACCTTTACCTAGCCAAAATGGTTATGTTCTGCCTCTACGGTTTCCCCTCCTGGCTTTTCTTTTTCTTCTCTCTAGCAATCTTGTGTTCTTTATCACACAAACACAAACTTTCTTCCCCATTGTCCCCTTTCTTTTCCAGAGAAGACACACACACACACACACACACACACACACACACACACTTTAATGTCCATTGTCCATAGACCTTTTAAAAGCTGTCCATAGAAATCAAGGGACAAATCTAAAATTTCTCTTAATTTGTGATTTGGCAACAGATTCCCCCCCTAAACACCCCCCCCCACAATGGCAGCAGAGAGAGGGACCTCTGCACTTCCTAGGTTCCACTGGTCTATTTAACAAACAAAACATGGGGGCAATGTGGGGGGAGTTTCTGAAAAGCAGAACCTATTTGAATGCAAATCAGTGGTGTATGAGACCTTCTGATACTAGTGAGGGTGGGAAATCTACGCTAGTCTCAGCCACCCCTCTGACCTGTCATATTCAAAGTGGTTGCAGAGCTGCTGTAAGTCTCTCTCTTTCTCTTTTTTTCTCTTTCTTTCTCTCCTGCTTCCAGAGTTGTAAATAATGCAAACCAGGGACACCCAAAAACACAGCCACGTGGCCCTCAGCTCCCTGTGGTAAGGTAGCTGCCTATGGAAGGGAACTTCTAGGTGAGATCCCAGGGTAGCTGTTGAAAATGTGTCAAACAACCTTGTCCAGTGGGCCTGTGGCAAAGAGCGCATCGTGTATGCAGCCTAAGTCATCAACCAGTGAGCCCCACTGTCCTCTCCACAGCCCACTCTGCAGCTAGGTTCAACTACCTCCCTCAGCCTGGGAGCAAACAAGAAGACCAAAGGTACAGGCACTTGCCTCCCCTTTGGCTTTTCTTCGTTTTCCCTGCTTCATTTTTGAAGATGAGGAGGCTGTGGGGGTGAGCTGGAAAGACAGCCAAATTTTGAGACGTGTGGGCACAGCCCAAAAATCTGCACTGAAAAGACACCTCAAGATCCTACACTTAAGAAGAAGAAGAAGAAGAAGAGTTTGGATTTGATATCCCGCTTTATCACCACCCAAAGGAGTCTCAAAGCAGCCAACATTCACCTTTCCCTTCCTCCCCGACAACAAACACTCTGTGAGGTGAGTGGGGCTGAGAGACTTCAGAGAAGTGTGACTAGTCCAAGGTCACCCAGCAGCTGCATGTGGAGGAGCAGGGAAGCGAACCCGGCTCACCAGATTACGAGACTGCCGCTCTTAACCACTACACCACACTGGCACACTTAAATTTTGTCTCAACACCAGCTCAAATTTTTGCCTTTGTCAGCTTCAGGATATGAACCTCTGACCTAGCAATGCTGGAGACCCAGCAATCCTTGACAAAGCCATATATAAATATTTGTGGCTTTGGTTACCTATTAACTTGTTGCAAAATGGATTATAAGGCTGCTCATCCTTCCTGCTTATTCATTCTTTGACCATGGGGAACCAGCTCCTGTTTTGTACTCTGCTGGCACTGATTCCTGCACTTGGAACATCCGATTTTTTAATCTCTAATATCAGAAACATCAAGGTAAGAATACAAAGAAGCAGCGATTGAAATCATACGATTGATACAAACAATCCCGTGTTGGCATTGAAATGCCATCGAAAGGCTTCGGGGCAGGGCTCTGCAAGTGTAAATGTATTTCTTCCAGTGCATGACTATCCCTAGGACAAAAACAGAGTGATGTATGGATTATTTCTCCTTGTATCAAAGTAGACTCCTAGATATCCTAGATATTATCTCTTGTACTCAAAGGATCCCTAGATGCCAGGTGTGTCCATTGGCATTATAAGCATCTAGGACTGAAATGCTATACAGTGGTACCTCGGGATAAGTACTTAATTCGTTCCGGAGGTCCGTTCTTAACCTGAAACTGTTCTTAACCTGAAGCACCACTTGAGCTAATGGGGCCTCCTGCTGCTGCCGTGCTGCTGGAGCATGATTTCTGTTCTCATCCTGAAGCAAAGTTCTTAACCCGAGGTAATATTTCTGGGTTAGCGGAGTCTGTAACCTGAAGCATATGTAACCTGAAGCGTATGTAACCCGAGGTACCACTGTACACACTTCTGTGTGAGTAAGGCTCATTGAATTCCATGGGACTTACCTCTGAGAAGATAGGGTTGCACTGTAGGTTACAATTCAGATAATGGGTAAGTCAGATCAGTAGAGGCCCCGCTGCTAGTCTTGTAATGCCCATGTTCCATCTTGAGTGGTGAAAGGTTGGGAGACACTGCTGTCTGAACCTCTGCAGACCTGTTCCCAGTAAGGTTAGACGATACTGAGCTAAATGGACCAATGGTCTGGCTTGGTATAAGACAGCTTCCTATTTTCCCCATCTCTTCTGCACCTAGTCTCCAGAATGACTAGAACGAACCCTCAGAATAAAGTGGACAAATGCTTGGAGTCAGTGATGGGCTTGATGAGGGCTAATAAAATGAAATGCACCTATTAGCGTGAGCATTTCCAAATGAATATGGTAATAATGAAAGCTATTATTTTGTTTTTTTCTTTACAGAAAAGAAATGTTGCAAATACTGTAAGTACTCATCTTATTTTTAAACTTAGGTTGTTCTTGGCGTATAGGGGAGGATAGCCTGAGGGGAGATAACGTGCTCTGCCTGGTTTTTAGTGTTTAATTTCCCAATCTCAGCACTGAGATCAGGACACAAAATCTCTCTGCCTTTCCACAGACCATTTGGTTGTGACCCCACCACCACCACCTTCAGTATCTGGTGTGAAGATGATATGTTTAATATTTTGTACTGCTTGTCAATAATGATATGTCCTAGGATGCAAGTCTGAAAATCAATAAAAGGTTTTTTTAAAATAAAAATAAAAATATCCATCTGCACACTCCTTAGAAATCCTCTGTAAAGAGCAAGCAAAGAGGTTCCCAGCTCAGCACTAAGCACCACAGCGCTTAGATCAGAGAGAAGCCCTCTGCTTGATCTTTACCACCACCCCATTGAGAGTGGGGGAGGTGCTGCCTTTTACTCTTAAAGAGCAAGCAGTGGGATTTTGTCTCCTGATCTCAATGCTAAGCAGCACAGCACTCATATTGGAGACAAGCCCTCTGCTTGTCCTTGGCAGCATTTTTCAGCCATCTCCACCCCAGTAGGGACGGCAGAAAATGCTGGTTGTTTGTATGTGCATGTATGTTTGTGTGCAAAGTATATGTATAAGTGTGTGTTGTGAGAGAGTGGAGTGCTCTATGCCTGCATGCCTCTTGAGTTTGTGTGTTGTATGTGTGCTGAGTGTCTGTGGTCTGCATGTATGTGGCATGTGCCATCCATGTATGTGGAGATACTCCCACTGCTGGCATTGCGGCCCTTGAACAAAGAAAGGCTAGTTAACCCCTTAGTTATAGGTACATCCCATTAATGACAAAACCTTTTATTATTACATTGGTTCTGTTTTAAATATTAATGCTCTTAGCCCTGCTAATTATTTCAAGATATGGAATTTGCAATACAAGATAGGAAAGTTTCATGGTCAGTGGTCAAGGATGATGACAGCTGTAGTCCAACAGTATCTAGAGATTGGAAATCAATGCCTTCAGTCAATTTGGGTTTCCCTGAATTGTAGAAAGAATGCATGTTTTTGAAATGTAATGCTGCAATCAAACTTTGTTCAGCATATTTGCCTAAGTTGCTTAATAAATCAAGGACAGGGGAAAGGGTATGTAGAAATAAGGGGTTAAATAAACAAGCAGGAATAACAAACAAAAAATCAGCACTAAGTTCCTTTCACTTTTGGGCATAGGTTGGGGGTTTGCTGCATGTACAGGACCCAAAGTACACATGTGTATTATGCCTATTGGGCAACTGGGAAGTGATGAAAGGTTAACAACAACACCCTTTCTTATCAAAACCTGAGCCACTACAATGGTTTTGAAGTAACAAAAATAAAAATAAAATGGAGTGGAGTGGGGGGAATCAAATGAAGGATCTGCTATACTAGGAGAGTTTTTCTCCTTAGATAGAATAAGCACTCAAGAGCAAGGTTAAGCTTGTCACTTGACTCCTGGTAGTCTCTACAATTCCTCTCTGAAGTAATAGTTAGCAATATTGTCAATAAAGAAATACCTCTCCTCCTCAGAGCTACTGCACACTGTAATGTTTCTGGGTGGGTCCAATAACAGGCACCAATAATGACTCACTCGCTGGATCATCACCATGTTGTGGTGAGTGGGATTGCCCATTCCTATGACCCTTGTGACATCGAGCAGAGACATCACCTTGCCAACAAAGGTCCGTATAGTTAAAGCTATGGTTTTCCCAGTAGTGATGTATGGAAGTGAGAGCTGGACCATAAAGAAGGCTGATCGCTGAAGAATTGATGCTTTTGAATTATGGTGCTGGAGGAGACTCTTGAGAGTCCCATGGACTGCAAGAAGATCAAACCTCTCTATTCTTAAGGAAATCAGCCCTGAGTGCTCACTGGAAGGACAGATCCTGAAGCTGAGACTCCAATACTTTGGCCACTTCATGAGAAGAAAATACTCCCTGGAAAAGACCCTGACGCTGGGAAAGATGGAGGGCACAAGGAGAATGGGACGACAGAGGGCGAGATGGTTGGACAGTGTTCTTGAAGCTACCAGCATGAGTTTGACTAAACTGCGGGGGGCAGTGGAAAACAGGAGTGCCTGGCGTGCTCTGGTCCATGGGGTCACGAAGAGTCGGACTAAACAACAATGACCCTTGTGGGTGAAGCTGTCAAGAGTCTTGTACTCCCAGCAGGGTCACCCAAGGCAGTAAGGTCAAAGGGAAAGAGCTAGACAAAGAATGATCCAAGAAGTCCTCAATGGCAGAACAGGTGAAAGATAGCAAGTGGTATGTTACAATGGCTGTGAAGGTGGATAAAGGCTGCAGCAGATAAGAATCTACCAGTCATTGTGACACTGCGAAGACTGTGTGTTGGTCAACTGATCTACGCACATAAAACAAATTCATGCACAGGTGTCTTCCAACAGCCCAATCCTAAACCCCAATCCAAAAGTCCCATGGTGATCAGCAAATGGTAATGGGGGCAGGACCATGAAATCTGGAAGCCCCTAGTCATGAACCAGCACATGGTCAGTGGATACAGATTCAGTTGTTCTGATTCAAGGAATGAGGCAGTTGAGTACCTCAGCAGGATCCACTCTGTTCACCCTGAAAAGGGGGAGGGGCTAGACTGGCTTGGGAAGACAGGTGAACTAATGCCAGTGTACTGGAAGAAGCAAAGATCACCAGTGTTGAAGCAAGGATTCTTCAGCATCAACTTTGTTGGACTGGTCATGTTGTTTGGTTGCCTGATTATCATCTTCCAAAGCAGCTACTCTATTCCGAACATAAAAATGGAAAGCGTAATGCTAGTGGTCAACAAAGGAGGTTTAAAGACTCCCTGAGATCACTTCCGGGTTGGCAGATTCGTTTAATGGCGGATTCCCTCCGAGCCCCGGAGGGAATCGGCTCCGTAGAGTCTGGGTCTTGCCGCTGCGGCGAAGCGGGGACCCTTAAAATCACAGGCGCGGAAGCCTGTGAACACAGAGACTCGGCGGGCACCATTTGCGCCCCCCCATCTGTAAAGGAGCCTTTTTAAAGGCTCCGGAACAGGGACGGGGTGCGGCGCGGTGCTGAGAGTACTCCTTCTTCTACGGAGTGAAGCCGCAAGCCATTGACGGAGAGCGCTGACTTTTTCCTTGGATCAATCGGACTCTAAAACATCAACCCGTGAGTAATACGGAGATTGGAACTTTAGAAAAAAAATTGTTTTGGATCAGGAACGAGCGGGGAAGGGTTAAAAAGGAAGTCCACCCCCCCTCTTTGTAAACAAGCTAAAGCAAAGGACATGTTGGCTAAGGTTGAGAGAATTTTGCTTTGTTTTTTAGTACAAGATTTTAACTTCACGGCTTTGACATTATAAGAAGATTTACCGGAGGATAAAAGATAAATTGTGGGAGCTGAAATTTCACACACACACACCCCAGACCCGGGAGCGTCCCGCGAGAAAGCCTGCTGATGTAATATTGAAGAGTTTGACAGCTGTCAAGTTAGCTGTCAGACAGTTAGCTGTCAACCAGAAAAAGAGAACTTTGTTTCTGTTGCTTCTGCTGGTTTATTTGTTATAATTTGCTGAAAATAAGGAAGGGCTGATACAAAATAACTGGACTTTCGGTTTTGAGCTGAAAGGAATATTAAGGAACTAAAAAAACCCCTAGAGGGGTTTTAGTGACATTACAGGAATGGCTGGAGGACGGAAAATACAAGCAGAATTGGACAGAGCATTTGTTCTCTTGGGAAAGTTACAAGATCAGTTCAATGTTTTGGCTACAGAGGTTTCAGTACTACACTTGACAGTAAACAACAGTGTTGAATTTGATAAGGATTTGAAACAGGAAGCCCATCCAATTGAACAAACAGATGAAACTGAAAGTTTTGACAAGATGGAGCAATATGTTGCTTTAGAAGAAAATGAAGGAGGAGCTGGAATTCTGCAGATGCTAAAGGAGAGCTGCAATTTGAGGCCTGACATGATGACAAAAAAGGAAAATAAAAATTTGATGTGGGAAGCCTGGCCTGAATTGGAGACTGAAAAAGGAAGAGATCTCCTTTTGTGGAGATCTGAAGACCTGAGGATTACAAATTTGCTGAAGGTGAAAGTTGGAGCTTTGGGGACATTTGGATTTGAAAGGAGTATGGAACAAGAGTTGGAGTACCCCACAGGCTTTGTTTTTAAATATGGAGGTCTGGCTGGAAGCAATATGGATCCTGTTGGGCCGGAGCCCCTCCGAGATTTGGGGTTTAATATCAAAGGCTATCAAAAAGACCGGCAGAGAGGAACTGAGAGAGATTTAAGAGCCTCGGACGTGAGATCTCCAGGCTAAATAACATATAAAGACTGATGAATATTTGGTTGGGGACTGGAACCGGGAAAAGGGTGGATGGAGTTTGGGAATCCAAAGGGTAGACAAATATAATTTGTTTTGTTTTTATATTTTTGTTAGTTTTATGGAAATTGGGAAAACTGTGAAGGGAAATTTTGGTCGACTTTAGGAAAAAGGTTTAAGAATAATTAATGAGGTATAAGTAATGATGTGTAAAGTTGGATAAGTTAAAATTGGTTTTCAAATTAAATAGAAATAAGGTTTGTAAAAATAAATTGAGGAAATGGATGGAAGAAGAAAAGTGAAATAACAGCATGTTAGAACAAATTATTAAGTTAAAGTGGAGAAATAAGTTAAGGACTTGCTGAACTGATAATCTAAATTGGAATACAAGAAGGGGAGGTGTGAGGAGGTCTGAGAAATAAGGTAAAAGAAAATAAGTAATTGAAACTTTATGTGTTTTTAATTGTTATTAAGTTTTGAATTTTTTGTATTTTTGTGTTGTTTTTGTTTTTGTTTTTTCTCTTTTCTTGCTTTTGATTTTTATATGTATGAAAATACCAATAAATATTCATTAAAAAATAAATAAAGACTCCCTGAGATCTAGGGGTATAGGGTGGTATACAAATTTAATAAATAATATATATATATAACAGTAGCACTTTGCCAATATAGTAATGAGGATAATGTTATTCCATCTTTTGTATCAAAAATATCAAGAAAATGAATGGTAATTCTATCTACTGTTTCATTTCTCTTCCACGTTGAGGGATTAAAATGGTGTACTGAAATTAATGTTTGATTTATACATATCTTGCTCATTCAAATTCTGATTGGTTATTGTTTCACTATTGCATCAAACAAACGGTGGAGATTTTTAGTTTCTCTGTCTCTCCAGATCACTGATGGAATAGATATTTACAGCCTGAAAATTGAGTGCTTCGTTACCTCCCGATTTTCCCACAATGTCATCACTAGTCGAGCTGTCAATCGTGCCAATGTGTCCAAGGAAGCCTTATTTGATGTGGAGCTTCCAAAGACGGCTTTCATCACCAACTTCACCATGTGAGTACAACTTACTTTCTAAACAACTGTCTTGAAGAATTGAGCACAATACAACTCAGTCTTCGTAGACTTAAAATACTTGGTGTTTCATTATTTCCTTTGCTTTCCATCTGATTTCTTAGTGATTTCTGATTTCTGATGGTTAGTTTACAAATAGGCTTAGTTGCCCTGAAAATATATCTGTGATGTTTCTCCCCTCACAATGACTGGTCAAGGCAAGTTGCAACTTGGATTTCACATGTGATAGGAAAATTGTTGCAGTAAATGTGTTGAGTGAATGTCTACAGTTGCTCAGCTGGTGGGTTAAATTTCCCTCCTCTGCACTTTTCTTTCAACTTGTCCAATACTTGACCCAACACTTTTTAACAACGAGCCCTCTATGTGGAATGAGTTTTCCTCATGACTGCATATTTGGTAAAAACTACAGTTTCCTCATACAATACTTAGCCTAACGTTTACCAACCTGGTGACAATGATCCAATATGATGGAAGTTGTAGTCAAAAAAACCTCTGAAGGGCACCAGCTTAGGGAAGGCAGCTCTACCTCAAGCATTTTATTGTTTCAGCTGCAAAGCTCTGCCACTGTGCTGTCTTGCACTGTTCAGGAGAGCTGTGCCAGTGCCAGTGTTAGGAGGGTGGATCTGTGGGTTTGTCCCATCACACCAACTGCTACTGCTCAGCTACATTGGCACATGAGTTTATCAAAAGTCTTCTTTGGGGTAATAGCCGTCCCTTCCTTCTCAGAGGAACCCAGGAAGCTTCTTTCCATCTAGCCCAGTGTTGTCTACTAACTGGCAGGAGCTTTCTAGGGTTTCAGACAGAACTCTGTCTCAGTGCAGGGATTGAGCCTGGGGTTTAAGCATGGAAAGCAAGTACTCTGAGCTCAGACCCTTCCTCTTTGACTGCAAAACAATTGATATTCTACTACATGGTATTTAATACACCTAACCCAGGGGTGTTGGGTGTATTAACAGCATTGTTGTTGGTCTCAGCCTCCAATCAGACTTCAACAACATGGCCAAAGGTCAGGGATGATGACAGCTGGCATCCAACAACATTGAAAAGTCACCACCCTGGCTTAAGACAGTTGAAAACATTCATCGTTTAAACAAATGTACAATGTACCCAGAAAAGGACGAATTCCTGTAAACTGTAACGTGGAGGGAGGCAATGTGATTTACTTGATAAGTCACAAAGAAGGCCAATGAAATTATTTTCAGATATCTGCATAGAAGGTCAGATATTTACCTGCTGTTTCTTCTCTAGGACTATTGATGGTGTCACCTACCCTGGAACAATAAAGGAAAAAGAGGCTGCCCAGAAACAGTATCAACAGGCAGTTTCAAGAGGACAGACTGCAGGTCTTGTAAAGTGAGAGTGAGACCCTTCCATATCCTGATAGTTTATTTAGACTCATAGAATCATAGTATTACAGTATAGAGTGGGGAGGGAGCCTGAGGGTCATCTATGTGGTTTTTGTGTTTATATTTTTCATTCTTATTTGGTGAACCTCCTTGAGATCTATGTCCACAGCATTCTCCTAATCCACCAAGCTTGTAACTCGACTCAAAAAAGAAATTGGATTTGTCTGGCACAAGTTGTTTTTGAGAAACCCATGCTGGGCTTTAGCGATCACTGCATCCTTTTCTAAGTGATCACAGACTGACTGTTTAATTATCTGTTCTTGGACCTTTCCTGATATTAATGTCAAACTGACTGATTGATAGTTACCTGGGTCTTCTCCCTTCCCCCTCCTCCTGCAACTTTCTGAAGATAGGTACAACATTTGTCCATCTCCAGTCTGCAGGGACCTCACCTGTGCTCCAAGAATTATCCAAGAAGATTATAGACAGAGCCTCTGTGTTAACACCCACAAGCTCCTTCAGTGAAGCTCATCAGGCCCTGGAGATTTGGATTTTTTAAAAAAAGTTTACAGATCTAAGGATTTAAATGGGATTGTTACTTTTGTAACATTAATGCTGTTAATCTTGTAACAAACTTCTTTTTAACCTGTGAAGGGCTTCTGGAAGAAAAACTGAAAAATTCAGTGTTTCAGTCAACATTGCAGCAGCCAGCAAAGTCACTTTTCAGCTGCAATATGAGGAGCTATTGAAGAGAACCTTTGGGAAATATGAATTGTTTCTAAAAGTAAACCCGAAGCAGCTTGTCAATAAATTTGAGGTAATGTACCTATTATATCAAATGGAACTGTTGTAAAAGTTTGCCAAAATTGTATTAAATGAGTGACGAAAGCTCAAAGAACTGAATGCATCTTGTTAAAGAAGATAGGTGATTGGTTCTGAGTTACTTCTCTTTGCTGCAAGGGTGTTTGCTGTAGTTAAGATGCTTAACTCCATCCGAACTGTAGTATCTGTGACTTTGTCAATTACAGCATTATTCAAATTAACATTTCAGATTGAGGCAAACATATTCGAGCCCCAGGGCATCAGCTTTCTGGACGCAGAAGGATCTTTCATCACCAATGACTTGTTACCAATCATACATAAGTCTTTCTCAGGGAAAAAGGTATGTTTTACAATGATACATAAGGACAGTTCCACAGCACTAAAAATGTTCACTAAACTTGTTGTTGTTGTTGTTTAGTCGTTTAGTCGTGTCCGACTCTTCGTGACCCCATGGACCAGAGCACGCCAGGCACTCCTGTCTTCCACCGCCTCCCGCAGTTTGGTCAGGCTCATGTTGGTAGCTTCAAGAACACTATCCAACCATCTCATCCTCTGTCGTCCCCTTCTCCTTGTGCCCTCCATCTTTCCCAACATCAGGGTCTTTTCCAGGGAGTCTTCTCTTCTCATGAGGTGGCCAAAGTATTGGAGCCTCAACTTCACGATCTGTCCTTCCAGTGAGCACTCAGGTCTGATTTCCTTAAGAATGGATGCATTTGATCTTCTTGCAGTCCATGGGACTCTCAAGAGTCTCCTCCAGCACCATAATTCAAAAGCATCAATTCTTCGGCGATCAGCCTTCTTTATGGTCCAGCTCTCACTTCCATACATCACTACTGGGAAAACCATGGCTTTAACTATACGGACCTTTGTTGGTAAGGTGATGTCTCTACTTTTTAAGATGTTGTCTAGATTTGCCATCGCCTTTCTCCCAAGGAGCAGGCGTCTTTTAATTTCGTGACTGCTGTCACCATCTGCAGTGATCATGGAGCCCAAGAAAATAAAATCTCTCACTGCCTCCATTTCTTCCCCTTCTATTTGCCAGGAGGTAATGGGACCAGTGGCCATGATCTTCGTTTTTTTGATGTTGAGCTTCAGACCATATTTTGCGCTCTCCTCTTTCACCCTCATTAAAAGGTTCTTTAATTCCTCCTCACTTTCTGCCATCAAGGTTGTGTCATCTGCATATCTGAGGTTGTTGATATTTCTTCCGGCGATCTTAATTCCGGCTTGGGATTCATCCAGCCCAGCCTTTCGCATGATGAATTCTGCATATAAGTTAAATAAGCAGGGGGACAATATACAGCCTTGTCGTACTCCTTTCCCAATTTTGAACCAATCAGTTGTTCCATATCCAGTTCTAACTGTAGCTTCTTGTCCCACATAGAGATTTCTCAGGAGATAGATGAGGTGATAAGGCACTCCCATTTCTTTAAGAACTTGCCATAGTTTGCTGTGGTCGACACAGTCAAAGGCTTTTGCATAGTCAATGAAGCAGAAGTAGATGTCTTTCTGGAACTCACTAAACTTGAGACAGCAATAATTAATTGGGAGGTCTGGGCTAGATGTTTATTTGTGGGCTAGATGTTTATTTCAGGGTATTTAATCTTCAAGGTACTTACTCTCTTGCAATGTTATTGTTCATGTTTTCAACAGTAACGCCAGGTGAAGAACAAAAAACCTTTCATAACTTTGTTAAAATTTCACATGGATGGATGCTTGTGCTTTCAGGGTCATGTTTCTTTCAAGCCTACTATGGACCAACAGCGAACTTGTGTAGATTGTCAAACAACACTGTTGAGTGGAGATTTTGTCATAAAATACGATGTGAACAGAGAAACCCCAGGCAATTTACAGGTAAACAGAACTGATGTGAACTGATGTGCCAGTGGATGTGATTGTAATGTCATCCAACACTTGTTTTTGTTTTTGTTTTGCAGATGGTCAATGGGTACTTTGTACATTTCTTTGCACCACAAAATGTTTCACATTTGCCCAAGAATGTTGTTTTCATTATAGATATCAGTGGCTCAATGTCCGGACGGAAACTAGATCAGGTAACCAAGTACTCTAAAATCAACTTGAAATGTAACCAACACTTAAGTTAATGGAGAGAGGGTGTCTCATAATCATTTATTCCAAGCAGTTTAGACAGAATGCCTGCAGAGTTTAGTGGGTGCTTTTGCTGAGTATATACTTAAGTCATTTAGAGCCTGGCTGCACGATTATTTAAGGTTTTGTGATTAGGGCAATTAGGGAAATTGCTAGTAGACAACTCACCTTATTTGAGAAACCATTGTTTTCTGGAGAAACCGTAGACAAGGTATTCTATTACTAATTTGTAAACTATTACTGTCCCCTTTTAACTGTCCCCTATAGACACTGTGAAATAGCAGTGGGACAACATTATGAAAGATGAACAGTCTTTGGACAAAACCTCCTTTCCATTCAACTTTGGCAAGGAATTGGGAGATATTCTTTAAAAATTACATAGATTTTATTTAACGCCCAGAAGACTGCTGATGATGCACCCTAATTGTCAGGAGGTCCTACACATGAGTAGGAGTCCGGCAGAGGCACATGCTCGACTGGCATGTTCTCTCCTTCCTGGTTGGTCTTCCGGGAGATTCAAAAGCTTTCTCCAGCCCGAACATCACAGTGACTAATACCAAGAAGCATCCGCACACTTCAGGATCAGCAGAGTATAGGCAGTCAGTGTTCAGACTCAGTAGCGCAGCAATTTGGCTAATCTACGTTTATTTACATATATACACTCAGAGCATCATAACTCAGCTCCTTCCTCTTCAGCATCAGACAGCAAAGAGAAAGAACAGAGGACAAAAATCCTACATCATGGAAACACAGTAATAAAAACATCCTGTCTCTGTCACTTCCCACAATGTGGAATGAAAACCTACAACGTCATGTGATATAAACAATCCCATGACTGCAACACAGTGAATGAATCCTAACATCCCTCACTAATAAGTTGGAGAGGGTGTCAGTTAACTGGTACCTATTATCATTTGGGGAGGGAGACTACCCCTTAATACAGCAATTTTGGTTCTTCATCTTTGTGGAAATTGGCAAAATTACTTTAACACTTTGTCCACATTAATAATGACCTGGTACGATTGCTTATGCAAGCAGCGAGTACTATTATAGTAAGACACTGGAAGAACCTAGAAGGAGTAAATGTTATAAATTGGTATAGAAAGGTATGGCAGACTGCACTATTAGAAAAAATTGACAAATAGATTGAGACTTCCACGGGGACAAATTTAAAAAGACAATTTTACTGCAACTTGAGTTGACTTTATAGATTTTATGAGCACAGCTACAATTGGTAATTTTATGGCAGCAGCTTTTCATATTGTATAACCTCCCCTTCCTTTGGTGAACTGGGGGAAAGGGAAAAATTTCTTTTATAAAACCTCTTTATCATAACATCACTTATACTACTGGTGCTCTAGCTGTATTACTATTTTGAATTAAGGTTTAATCATTTCTATTACTTCTATTAATCTCAAAGTATTATTTATTTTAAGATTTTGCACTATATTTTGGGTTGATTTTTTTCATTTTATGTGAATCATGATTTACTATATATTAGTTGTAGTTTGATTAGTTTGTTGCATTCTTCTTCTTCTTCTTTTTTGTATGTTATACTGGTGTAACACCAAATCAGTTATTGAGCATGCTACTCTTATGGAAATTCCAATATTGGTGTTTTAGAACTCTTATTGTGGAAAAATATTTGTTGTTCTTATTGTTAAAGATGTGATAAGCATTTTTTTTAAAAAAAAAAATCACTGATTGTCCAGTAGAGGTGGAAAGAAGGGAGTTCCCACTGCAACTCTCCCTTGCCCATGAAACAGTTGATTGATGATATCCTCCTATTCTACAAGAGCTCAATGCTCACAGAAGATGCCCAGCAGTTTCCCATCAAGGACTCTATATAAGAGTCCAGGGTATCCAGAGCTCCCACAGAACCCTTGAGAGCTCCCAGGGTCATGCCTTGCAAGCTGTTGTCTCTGCAAGCACTGAGCTCCAAATGAAGCCTTATATGTTTTCTAGACCTGGAGTTCCATAAATGCCACCTCTCCAAAAGAGCTAACTGATCTTAGCTTGTTATGCAGCCTTTGGGGGCTGGGGAAACATGAGAGACTCCTCTTCTGATTCAAAGGAGGGAGGCAAGCCTGAGTCCTCCAGTTGAGGGAGTCCCATTCTATATCTGTATGCAGGTTCAAAAGTGCCAGGTGGGAAGAGGGAGTAATAGTTTGTTTAGTTACCAAAGAGATCTCAGCAATCAGCTTACTCCAAAATTCAGCCACCTTTGAACAATCCCTTCATATGTGCTTATATGTACCAACTACATGACAGTCCCTCCAACACAGTGAAGATGTATCAGGATAGAGAAAACAGAGCAGTCACAGAGTAGGGTACCTGTCATGTACTAACTTTTGAGAGAGCTCTCAAGTTTGAGCTGAATGGAGACTTGGCCCACAGACCTTTCTTCTGCCCGTCATCCATCTGTATGTCCCAGTTACATTCCTACAAGGGCTTTTGACTCTGAGCCCCTTTAGGTTCTGTTTCTTCATCAGTGCTCTGGCTTTAATTGTTTGCCCTTCATTATTTGTACTTTAGACAAAGGAGGCATTGTTAAAAATATTAGAAGACGTAAAGGAAGAAGACCACTTCAATATTGTGTTGTTTGGGAGTGATGTAGAGAAATGGAAAGATACCTTAATACAAGCTACTCCTGAAAACCTGGATGAAGCAAGACGCTATGTTCAGAGTATTGATACTCGTGGAGGTAAGTTGCAGGAGGAATGGGGTTTTATTTATTTATTTAACAAATGTAATATTCCGCCCTTCCCTTTGAAGAACTTCAGAGCAGCTTGTAGTTAATAAAAAAATAAAACAATATTCGGAAATAAAACACTAAAATATTATTCTACAGCAGGACAATATTTCTATCAGCAGTTCTATTAGCTGTATTATAATCAAAAATATAACATTTTTAAAAAGCTTAAGTAAATGAAAATATCATTACATGGTTTAAAAGGTTGTAATATTTGGTGTAAGATCAACCTCCATGCTGACAATATTCCAGAGATAGGTTGCCACAACAAAAAGTCTATAGTTGCCTAATCTATGCCAGCACAGAGAAGGGTTATGGAGGCTCTGAACTGCTTAAAAAAACACACACACCCTCTGCTGAAAAGCAGGTCACTGACACAATAGTGATGGGTAGGCTTTTCTTAAGTTTTTATTCCCATTTGTTTCAGTGAATGGCCCTGCTGCTCTTCCCCTGCCTGTAATGTATGCATTTTCCTTGCAATTTACATAACGTTTTCAGGTATTCTGCTACCCATCCCTGTGAGATGTCTGCTTACCTTAAACAGTCAGGCAGCTTTGTGGCCTGGTCTTAGCCCCACATCAGAGATTTGGCAGCCAGCTGGGGAGGACTGTAGGCCTGCCTGCAGATTTGCCAACAGCAGGCAGGCCTAGGTCTGGGGATTCCCTGGGTCCTTGGGTCCTTCCCTGGGGAAAATAAATTGAGGCTGCCCAACACTCCTCTGTTTCTCCATTGGGTCTCCCACCCTTTTTTCAAATGCTGCTTCTTTTATGCTGAGACCTTGCTATGAACATTGTTGGCCTCCATATTTGGGGGTCAGGCAGGAATTTTTCCACTTGGCAAATTGGCACTGGCCACTTGATTTTCACCTACCTCATAACAATCACCACAACTTTCTGAGGTTGGGGACTGAGTAAGCCTTAGTCTTGGTTGGAGGGAAGGTTGTAGCTTCTGCCTGCCCCTCCTTGGTTAATGGTATCCATGTTGCTTCTGCCCAACCCCCAGACAGGGGCTAGAGCCATAAATAAAGGGCTTCACCGAGTGCCTATGCCAATTCTTTCACAACTGTAACTAATAAAGTTGTGGCCTATTTGAACCCCAAAACTCTATAGCGTCTGGTTATTTCATTACATAGGGAGCGACTGGGTAACGGGGTTTTGGCACGTGACACACATGCCACATTTCAGGCAGTTATTGGAGTACTGAGTTTGATTTTCATCGTAGAAAGGCAAGGAACAAATGGCTAAATAAAATACTGACCCCATAAGCATCTTCCAAGACAACAATGCCCACTTACCCCACAAAGAACTCCCAGTACATTTCCGAGCACAATTCAAAGTGTTGGTGCTGACCTTTAAAGCCCTAACCGGCCTTTGTCCAGTATACCTGAAGGACAGTCTCCACCTCCATCATTCTGCCCGGACACTGAGGTCCAGCACCTAGGGCCTTCTGGTGGTTCCCTCGATGCAAGAAGCCAAGTTACAGGGAACCAGGCAGAGGGCCTTCTCGGTAGTAGCAGCCGCCCTGCGAAACGCCCTCCCACCAGATGTGAAAGAGAAAAATAACTACCAAGCTTTTAGAAGACATCTGAAGGCAGCCCTGTTTAGGGAAGCTTTTAATGTTTAATAGGTCATTCTATTTTAGTGTCTTGTTGGAAGCCGCCCAGAGTGGCTGGGGAAACCCAGCCAGATGGGCGGGGTATAAATAATAATAAATTATTATTATTATTATTATTATTATTATTATTATTATTATTATTACCTACTCTCAGCAGCCAGAAACATCATAACCAGACACTGGAGAGACCTGTCAGGAGTAAGCATGGACCAGCGGTATCAAATAGTATGGGAAACAGCCTCGCTAGAAAAATTAACCAATAAACTGAAATTGACACAGGGACAAATAGAAGATGCCTTCACCCCGCTATGGCTCCCCTTTATCACATACACAGCTCAACAAGACAACGACAAGAACCCAACAACAGCATACAAATCAATATGACTAACCTGATTCAAAAACACTCACCCACCCCACTCAAACATGAAAACAAAGTTCACCACAGCCAATCACAAACAAGCACAAGGAACACAAGCGAATAGCAAAGAGAACCTGCACAAGCGACGTTGACACAAAACCCCACACATACATTAAGTAAAATAGAAACATCGCCCCCCGACCCCACCACACTCCCATGGCCCTCTCCACCTCTTCCCCCCTTTTCTTCCTAATGTAATACTAATGTCTCAACAAATGAAACTGACCTGTAGAAAATGTAACAAGAAAAAAGAGACGTTGCACAAGAAATCTTTAATAAAAAATACATTAAAAAGAACCATTCTGCAGTTTGAAATCCATTTAATAAAACAGTTGCCTGCAACCCAAACGTAAGGTTTTGCATAATGTCTGGAAGGCAAGAAGAAGTGAGCTGTGCCTCATTGGGGTGGAGCTTCACAGCCTGCCACAGAAAAAGTCCTCTCCATATTCCCAAAGAAGTGTATTTCAGATGTTACACTATTCAGATTATCTGAAGAGGTAGACAGGTACAGGAAATGCGATCCTTCAGCTAATGTAATATTCATTCTAAAAGTCTATTTGGCTCTGGCATATTACTGTGGCTTCTCTTTCATCCTACAGAAGAAAATCCACAGTTGGTGATCAAAAGAGCTTTCTAGTCACACTCTGTTTTTACAATTTGCTCCTCTATGTTCCAGCGACAAATCTTTTTGGTGGATTAATAACCGGAATTGAAATGCTGAAGGAAGCTCAGGAAGCTGGAACTTTGCCCGAAAGAAGTGCTTCTTTAATTATGATATTATCCGATGGCCGACCCAATGTAGGTATGTTTCCTGACAAGCAAATAACTTTGACATGTGATAAGATTGCTATGGAAAATGATAAATCTTCACAGAAATTTATAGCAGAGGTGTTATTTCAAATTTCAATTGCTGCAGATCAGAGGAGTAAGGAATTTTCAGTAGAAAGGTCAAGATTCACAACATTCAAAGGCCTGCTCTTTGATACATTCAATACTGCATTGTGAAAACGTGTGTATTTCAAAATGATTTTTAATGGTTATTTTCTGTCTGATACTTTGTTGAAACTATGTCAATATTATTAGTGTGAGTCCAAAAGTAAGCCTTTCTTCATTGAAGGGATTTTCTCTAGGGCAGTGGTTCCCAATTAGCTAATTACTGAGGTCCCCCTATTTTTCAAAAGCAAAGCCATGGGATTTCCGGATCGGTCGCAATCACGTTCAGGTCATGAGTTCATCCAGCGAGCTTGTTGGGACGACTCAGTCATAGAAAAGGGTAAAAGGGGAGCGAAGGCAACGCAATACCCATAAAAAGGCTCAGAAAAGGGTTCTGAGCTCTGACCCAGCCAAGCTGCACAAAAAGGGGTTTCCCAACAGCTCCTGCACTTAGTAAAGTGGCAGGGAGAGAGGGAGAACTCCAGCACTAAATACAGTGCCTTCCCTTTCTATGAGATGCCTCGAAAGCCTGAGTGATTCAGCGACAGATCTCTCCATAATCCGAGACTAAAATAATAAGACTGCTGGCTGGCAAACAAAGAAAAGGTACGTACAATGATCGGCAGGCAATTTGATAGCAAAAAAGGAGTCTAATGTTACGAGGGGGAGGAAGGAGGTCACCCTCAAACATGGTTTAAAAAGACACTGTGCTCTAAAATATTGCGAAAAGAAGAACTTAAGGACTTAATTCCTAATTTGCGAATCAAGGATATTGAAGTACAGAAAACTGGAATCTGTTGGAGACATCTCTGAGGCGGGCAGGAAGAAGTGACTGACACACAAAAAACTGGAGAAGTGAAACAGCACCAACAAAAAAAGAGTGGCAAGAGAGATTATTTGATTACCTTGAATTGGCAAAAATGACGGATAAAAAAACCCAGTGCCCTCAAATTAAAACCTGGCCTTGCTTCAAATAATTTTTGCAAAACAAAGTATGGTTCACGACATATGGAGAAGGGTAGAAAAGATGAAATGAGAAAGAAACAGTTTATCAAGTTTAAAATCAGACCCGCGTTAAGGAGGAAGGAAGTATTAGAATAAATAAGAACTAAAGCTTGGGTAACATAAGTCCGTGTGCACAAACCTGCGGATTTATGGATCATTTATTTTGATCCAGTTTATCATTTATTTTGTGTCTTCTTTTGTAGTTTGTTTTTTAAGTGTTGTGTGTGTATCTGCTGTAATAATAAGTTAATAAAAAGCATTTGTATAAAAAAGGCAAAGCCATGGACCCCCTACTTTTGAACATTTTGACAACTCTGCACTAGTTACCTCTGGAAAGCAATTTTTTGAACTAAATGTGGGGTAGCCCATAATAAGCAAAAGATTTTAAGTATACTAAAAAAACAGACTAGGGCTGAGCGATATCTGGTTTTCAACATTGTGATATATCAGCAGCTAAACATTGCGATATTCTGATATATCACAATGTCTTAAATTGGAGATCAGGCGTGGGGATGAGGGAAAGAGCAGTCACAGAGATTGGTTGGGGGGGAGAGGAAGTGGAGTCACCTCCTCTGCATGGTTTGAGTGGGAGGGGATGGGGGGGGTGCATCAGCAGAGCAACCAGTGAAGATCCACGTCCACTGTGGCTGGTGCTGCTTTCTTGCTGACTGGGAAAAGCTGCTCTGCCTCAGTGCCCAGGCAAGGTAATGCCACGGTGCCTTGAAGTGAGGGCAATTGACTGCCCTGTTCTGCATCAGCATGAGAGGAACGCAGCTCAAATCAGCAGTGTTATTGGCTGAAGTCATTGTGCGATATCAGCAGTACCTGAAATTGGTTGCCCTGCTCTCCCTTATGTGAGGAGCGATATATTGCTGCATATTGCTGGGTCAAAATCGTTATTGCGGTGTGATTTCAAAACTGATCTTGGCCAATATATCGAAAAACTTCACAGTGCTGAAACAGTCCATATATCTGTGATATTACCATGCAAAAATGACAAAAAATTAGGCAAGGGATGGGGCTGCGGACCCCCAGGGTCTTCAGACCCCTAACTGGGAACCACTGCTTCAGGGTATCCCTGGTTTATGGGCACATTTAGTTGCTCATTGTTATCTATACAAGTTCTGTGATGTATTATAAAAATAGTAATTCAGTGTATAGATCATGTGAGTTGGCAAGAAGTACGTTTATTAAACATAGTCACATGGTTTCTATAAGTGGCCACCTTGAATTCCTATCTACAAGATGAATGACCCTGCTGAATGTGTTCTAAACTTTTTTCCTATTTGGGAAGAGAAAAACATTAATACTGGTATCTCAGAAACAAGTATAACAGGATTTTTGTTGCTTTTTTCTATAAATGTGTGTAACCATGAGAAACCTATTCAACATTAATTATTGTCTGTGTTTTCATACAGGAGTGAGTAGCATCCAAGAAATTTTACTCAGAACCAAAAATGCAACTCAAGGGAAATTCCCCATATATAATCTTGGGTTTGGTTATGACCTTGACTATGGCTTTTTAGAAAAGTTGGCCACGGAGAACAATGGAGTGGCTCGTCGTATCTATGAAGATTCCGATTCAGCCCTACAGTTACAGGTAAAATATGATAACATTAGGTGACAATTGATTTTTTTTTTAAAGGTTAAAACGGATAAGCTACTGTTATTTTCAGAATGAAGACTCATCCACTTTAGTACCTCAGCATGGTATTGTTACACACCACCCCAATCTCCACAAATGGTACAAGATTCCAGGGGTTGCAGGAATATTTAACCAGGGTCTGTGTTTCCTTTTGGGACAATGAGGCACAGCAGATACTGATTTAGACATGTGTACAACCTGTGTCATTAGGGACGCGGGTGGCGCTGTGGGTAAAACCTCAGCGCCTAGGACTTGCCAATCGTATGGTCGGCGGTTCGAATCCCCGTGGCGGGGTGAGCTCCAGGTTCGGTCCCAGCTCCTGCCCACCTAGCAGTTCGAAAGCACCCTTAAGTGCAAGTAGATAAATAGGTACCGCTGTATAGCGGGAAGGTAAACGGTGTTTCCGTGTGCTGCGCTGGTGCTGGCTCGCCAGAGCAGCTTCATCACGCTGGCCACGTGACCCGGAAGTGTCTCTGGACAGCGCTGGCCCCTGGCCTCTTAAGCGAGATGGGCGCACAACCCCAGAGTCGGACACGACTGGCCTGTACAGGCAGGGATACCTTTACCTTTACCTTACAACCTGTGTCACAACTGAGCCAGCCCAGCCAGCTTTCAGTGGAGGAAGTAGGCAGGGAGAAATAGGATTAACTAACAGTAGAGAGGTGCCTAGCCGAGGGCCAACTTCCCCGCCCTCAGGAATGCAGGTTGCCAAGTCTGTCTTCTCAGGAAGAAGTTGGAGGGGATCCAATGAGCCCACAGAGTCGCCGCTGGGGGAAGGTGTGTGATAGGAGGCGGAAGCAGAAACGTAAGGGGCAGAAATCCCATTTAAGCTGGAGGAAGGGGAGGGACTCGGCAGAAGAGTCATCGTAATTCATGAGGGCGGCAGCTGGGTTAATGCCGTCCGGCATTATCTGTGTACTTGATCAATAAATCATTCTCTCTACTTAAGTATGCTTCCTGTGTTGTTGAGCTGGAGGCTGGATTCCTGCATTTAGAATGAAAGATGGCAGAGCATTCAGAGCATCCTATGAGGGTCTGGCTTCCCCTAGGAGGACAGAGGTGTCTGGCGTGCTCTGGTCCATGGGGTCACGAAGAGTCGGACATGACTAAACGACTAAACAACAACAACAACAAAACCACCCACTGTGTCCCTTAGTTCCATCCTGCCATCCCCATCTCACATGGAGTTCTGCCCTTCCTTCTCCCTCTCACAGCTAACTGACTCCCAGGACGACCCCACAGCCTACGTCATTCAAAGTTGAAACCCTAAACCTGGTCTTTGCCTCTGCCCACTAGCACCCCAGCAAATAAGGGCTCCCACTTCTCTTTACCTGGCAGTCTTGCCCTCTGATGGTTTCCTTGATGGGTGATCCCTGGCCTTTGTCGACTGCTACTGGCCCATCCAGCTAGACTGGTGATTGGGAGTGGCCGCCGAGACCACATAACACTGGTCCTGAAAGATCTACTTTGGCTCCCAGTACACTTCCGGGCACAATTCAAAGTGTTGGTGCTGAACTGGGCCGAGGCCATTTAGGGCTTAAATGGCCTCGGCCCAGTTTACCTGAAGGAGCATCTCTATTCCCACCGTTCAGCCCGGACACTGAGGTCCAGCTCTGAGGGCCTTCTGGCGGTTCCCTCACCGCAAGAAGTGAGGTTGCAGGGAACCAGGCAGAGGGCCTTCTTGGTGATGACGCTCACCCTGTGGAGCGCCCTCCCACCAGATGTCAAGGAAATAAACAACTATCTGACTTTTAGAATACATCTGAAGGCAGCCCTGTTTAGGGAAGTTTTTAATCTTTGAAGTTTTATTCTGGTTAATATTCTGTTGGAAGCAGCCCAGAGTGGCTGGGGAAACCCAGCCAGATGGGTGGGTATAAATAAGATATTATTATTATTATTATTATTATTATTATTATTATTATTATGCCCAGTTGGCTTGGCTCATTACCACAACTGAATCCGGGGGGTTCTGTGTTTGGCAAAGTTTAATCAAACCTTGATTAATTCAAACTTTTACTAAATCCAGAAATTACGAGGAATCTGCACCGCCACCTGCCCCCCAGCAAATTCATAACAGTATTGCTAAAGCAGCAACAACCCTGCTCTGCTTTGCTCAGCCCTATAGAGAAGGGCCAAACAGAAGAATAACTGTCCCTAATCTGCCCTGGCAAGGCCACCTCTCCTCAACTCTTCCTGTTTATAAGGACAAAAGCAAAATTAAGCTAGAATGTTAGGAACAACACGTGCATTGGAATACCAAGAATATAATGTTGTGTATTTCCTTCGATTCAGTAGAGATTTTTAAGCAGAGAGAGGGTGGTTGCCTAAGAGGGATGCTCTAGTGCCATATGAAGAACCTTTGGCCCTCCAGATGTTGCTGAACTACAGTTTCCTTCATCCCTGGTCTTTGGCTATGCTGGTTGAGGCTGATGGGAATTGTAGGCCAGCAACATCTGGAGGGCCAAAGGCTACCCAGACCTGCTATAGTGGATTGAGCTAGATGACCATTGAGATTCCAGTTGACTCCACATTTTATGGTTTTATGGCCCTTTGTTCAGCATGCAGAGGTGAAATTCTCCTACTTCTAATGTGCAGAGATTGATCAGTAGCAATCTTGTACTGGAGAGCTTGCCTTGTTCTGTGTTTGGATTTCTTTATCATTTTGCTTTTCCTCCAAGGAAATTAAAGCAGCATTTTGGCCTTATAGCAAAACCCTCACAATCAGATTAAGTCAGATTAAGCCTACAGTTAATTTGTTTATTTTTATATAAGAGCATTTTAAACATTTCCTTCATCAATAAGTAATCTCAAAGTGGGGCACAATAAACAAAGCAGATACTATTCTGAAGCAGGCACAAAACATTTGATGGACCAAGATCACCAGGAGATAATTTTATTATCTACATACATGTTTGTATATGTATATATGCATTCTTTTTCTCTTTACAAAAATATGCACTGAAACTAGGCTGTGTTTAAGTGTTGGTTTATTTATTTTCATTTTCTAGGACTTTTATAATGAGGTGGCCAATCCCTTACTTACAGAAGTAGAGTTTAAGTACCCTGAAAATGCCATCTCTGACTTGACTCAAAATAATTTTAAGCACTATTATGCTGGTTCTGAAATTGTTGTGGCTGGACGTATTATAGACAATGACCTAAACAGTATTACTGCAGAGGTGAAAGCTCATGGGGTAAGTGCCTTGTTAGGTCTGGCAATTATAATGTGTGTGTGTGTGTGTGTGTGTGTGTGTGTGTGTGTGGTTAAACTTTCTTTCCTGCCAGCGCTTGCCATTTTAAAAGGTAAGACTATAGCTCTGGAGATAAAGTTAGGAGCTTCTTGTTGTGTGTGAGAAAGATGATTGCTTCTGATCATGTAGCTGCCTATGATTCCCATTATGCCTACCCCTAACCCATTCCTGACCAACATGGAAGTGAACTTGTCCAGAATTTTCACTCTGTGAGTCACTGCCGTTTAGATCCATATTCTTCAGCTTTCTGTCTGAAAACTTACCAAAACGAGAGCCAAAGGCCACTTGGCTAACCAACTCCCATAGCTGCCTTCATGAACAGCCATTCCCCATAGATATTATGCAGAGGTTGAAATATTTGGAACCCAACCTTGCTTATTTTTCGCTTCCCTTCTTGCTGCCTTTTGTCTTTTGCCTTTTATTTGCAAGCTATTATTTTAAACTGTAATTTACCTTGATTGCTTTGGAAAAAGGTAGTATACAGATGTTGCAAGCAAGCTAATGAATAAAATGAAGTATTTCTTTAAAATGCCTAACAGGCAGAACAAGACGTGACTTACGCTGAACAAGCAGATGTTGAAGAAACAGCTAAAGCTACTGAAGAACAGAAATACATATTTGGGGATTTTATTGAGAGACTTTGGGCTTATCTCACCATTCAACAGCTTCTGGAAAAACGGTATTGGGCGGTGCTTTCTGATGTCATGGATAAGATCAAAAATTTGGAGAAATATCCCACATCTAATTGAATAAAGCTGAAATCCAATGCAAAATTTCCAAGAGTGTGGACAATTGAACATAGTAGGACTGTACTTACATAGGATTGTTCTGGAATTGCCCCCATTTTTTTTAGAAGGGGCAGTTTTTCAAGAAGGGCATTTGTCATAAGTGGGATAAAAGCACCCTTCTAATGGATCAGTCTTATGCAGGGCTTTTTTTCAGCCGGAACTCAGTTCTGGCACCTCTCAGGTGGGCACCATTGCCATTATAAGCGAACAAGGGTGAGTTCCGACACCTATTTTTTTGTATAAAAATAGCACTGGTCTTCTGCTTTGTGAAGGCACTTCAAGTACAATGAACCTTAAACCCTAAATCTAGCTCTTCAGTTTCAGCCATTCCCCGTAGCTGAAAACTTAAATGCTTGTGACACAGAGAGGTCTCGTCACTTGATTAAAAGTCTTCCTTTTCCGATGTGGGAGGAAATAGTGTCTTGACCAACAAGCTACCAAAGAGGCATCCGATTAAAGATTGTAATCTACCCTATATATCCAATGTTCTCTTGAAGCCATTGGAATTGTGTTCTCTTTCAACCGTACTAGTGTGCATGTTTCAGAATGGTTTGCCCTAATTAATGCCATGTAATCATCTTACATGGCAGTTCCCTAAAACAAAGAACTCTGCCTCCTCTGTTCTCCAGCCTCAGCTGATGTTGTCAAATATATTCCCTTTTTTTGGCCCACCACATTTTTCAAAATTGTTGCCAGAGTTGGGTGCAGGATTTGCACTTTCAGCTGCTGCGTATAAGAAAGGCCCTCTGTCTCTAGCAGAGATTTATTGCAGAAGCAGTGTGAATGCAGACACCCTTTATCATTTCTAGAATTATATCTTATTTCCCATCAAGGAACAAATACTTCTATGCAGTTATGTTGCATTTAAAACACAGAGGTTCTGTTTTTAGCTATTATGATGGTCAATAGCCATAGACAGACCTATCCCAATTCTTTTTTAACCATCTGTGTCATTGACTGCAACACTGAGGTGGCTCATGTGTGAGCCTCCTAATGTTTTGGACCACAACTCCCAAAATCCCTGGCTGTGCTAGATGGGGCTGATGGGAATTGGAGTCCCAACGACATCTGGAGGGCCCCAGGCTAGCCACTTCTGATGTAATACAACATATGGGGGCAACCGATTTACTTGATGCTCTCCTTTCATCCAGCAATGTAGCAACGGGAGACGAAAAGACTAATCTGACTGCTGAAATCTTGGACATGTCTCTGAAATACAAGTTTGTGACTCCTTTAACATCTATGGTAGTTACAAAGCCAGAAGACACAGTGAATGAGACTGCAATTGCTGACAAGCCTCTGGAAGGTAGAGATATATTATACCGCATTTATTTTATTTTACCCGGGGGGTTGTGATCCTGACTCCCAATTTCATTGTTGCAAAATGCAATATTAAAATCAGTGAAAACAATGCAGTGTCAGAAGAATGTGGCGGCTAATACATATATATACCTCAGGTGTCAATACCATGCTTGATTCAGTCTGTAGCAGTAAAAGTCTGCTCACCCTTGTGGTGTGGCGGTGTTGGTGGATGGCAGAGACTCTTTCCAGGCCCCAGCAAGGAATCCCAGGATCGGCCTCCTGTTCTGATGGGTGCCGTGGGTCTAAGCTCACACCACCTGTTGGGAGACGGATCCTATCCTGCACCCAGGATTGGCGAATGGGGGTGCAAGCTCGAATGTGGGCTGGGACGGGGGACAGAGCTCTCTTCCAACCCACCCCCTCCACCCATTCAATTCCCCCACATATCATACAAAGACCCTCTATTTAAAACCTTTTCTTATGAGGCAATAATCAATATTTTTATTTATGGACATATTTATGGAAACATTTTTAGCTGATTTTGCGCCCCCCCCCCGCCTGTGCCCCTGGCAGGGGCCTTCCTCATCACCCCCTAGCTATGACCCTGTTAGGAACCCCTGCTTGGATTGACCATAGTGGCGGGCTGGAAGTATTTAATTGCCCCATGCCCAAGCCAATCCTCTTTCATCTGTATTCAATATATTGTGGCCTGTTTTGATCCAATATCAGTCTTTGATTTCTTGGGATTGGGGGCTAGGGAGCACAACGCCTGGGACTGCAAGTGGTTATTCCACAATATTTTATATATCTTGGATGTATCCAGATTCTGTTGAGAACGTTCTACTGTTCGTTTGCTTTCAAAGTACTTCAGGGCGAGCCCACCCATGAGGTGGAGTGAGGCAGTTGCCTCAGGTGGCAGATCTGGCCTCTTTGTGCACTACTCGGTGCCTCATGCGCTTAGCAGCCTCTGCTGCCACCTTCTTCTCCGCTGCCCGCTCAGCTCCTGCTCCTCTATGGCCTCCTTTTACTCCCTTGCTGTGCCAGGGCTTCCTCAGGCTGCCTCCAATCGCCTTGGACAGCGGCTGCAGAAGAGGTGGCGGCGGCAGCAGTGGTAGGGGGCACTGAGCAAAAGAAGGAGGAGGAGGCAGGTGAGGAGGGTGTATGTGGCATTTTCCGTTTTGCCTCAAGTGGCAAAATGTCCTAGGCTGAAGTAATCTATGTCAGAATGAATGTTTCTAAATGTTTAACTCTCCCTTTTCTTCTTTTTTTTTTCTTTTCATGTTGAAAACAGCTGATGGTAAGTTTTATTGCATTGATCGTTTTACTGTTAATTATTATTTTACTTTAATTATTGAGCAAGTGTATACTAAATAGCTATCATGTGGGGGACCTTTGTCCCTGGCAGGGACAGATTTCACACAGTGTACCAAGTCATTTGTGTATCATGCTGTTCGTTGCTTTGGATGCTTTGGTGATGGAAAGAAAAGTGCCCCGATTTCTCTGTCAGGATTTTAAGGAAAGTTTTTGGAATTAGTAGTCTAAACTGAGCACACATATGGTTAATATTGCTACTGCAGTTTTAAATGTTAGTTATGTTTGTGATGTCAGATCTAGAACTCAGAAATAATAATAATAATAATAATAATAATAATAATAATAATAATAATAATGTGCAAATACAATAGCCAAATGATAACTGGGCTACTATATAGGAGCTGAACAGACGAATATAAGGTGTACTTGCTTAAATCACTCTGCTACAAAACTGTTAAAGGTACAGGAGCTATGCACTCCTTTGTATCTGTCCACCCTAAGAACAGAATGAATCTAATAACATTTTTTCATAGGTATAACTTTAACTGGACAGCAGTACATATCTATTATGGTCCATGCCACTCTGACACAATTTCCCCCATATTTATGTTTCATTTCCATGAGAATTTTTGAAAGAATTCTTCTTAAATACATATTTAAATGCTTGTTGAAATACATTTTTAAATGTGCATTTCTCTAAAAACACATATAAAATACTTATTTTTGCTCAAAATAAGTATCTAAATGCATGTTTTCTCTCACAACACACATTTAAACATTTATTTTCATTCAGGATACATATTCTATTGCACAGTTGACAAGTTTAAACTGCAAAAACTGTGTCACAACATTTAAAACCTTGTTTTGCAGTTCAACAAGGGTAGCTATCTTTTGATCTGCACATTGATCCAAAATGTCATTTCAGTATAGGAAGTCACGTAAACATCCCTATGTTCTGATAACCATTTAGAAGACAATTAGAGAAGATACCATAGGGAAAATAGGGTGCAATGTTTCAGAGCCCCAGAACATGAGCCCAGCAAGAGAGCAGTGTGCAGGGTGGGGACCAAAGGTTGGCAAGCTACCCCAGAAGGAGTAGGAAGTGTCTCCCACCAGAGATACTACCCTTCCCCTAATACCCCATAGACCCCAAGAACTCCAGCTACCATTCAGAAATCTAGTAAGACCTGTATCTAACCAACTGCACATTACAAAGACTGACATCTGTGGTACATAGGAACATAGACTTGGCTTTATACAACATCAGGCCTTCTAATTCAGTCTTGTCAACACTTGCTGGCACCAGCTCTCCTGGGTGGTATGCCACTAAGTTTTACTGAGAGTAAACCTGCTGAAATTAATGAACACTATTAAGCTCGGTCCATTGATTTCAATAGGTCTACTCTGAGTAAAGCTTAGTAGAGTACCAACCAGATTTGCTCTGGAGGATTGGGGAAACTCCCACAACACATGGGTGCTGAGAGGGGGATGACCCCTCATTGCATGAAATGGAATATTTACCATTGTGCTAAAATACAATCCATAATAATCTTTTTTTTTATTGCCCGTTTCAATGTTATTTCACCTCTTTTGTTTATTCCGTAATAACAGCAACATTTTTTCAATGAAACTGTGAAGTAGCATAAGATTCATTGAACCTTTACTTTTGTCTGTTCGGATCAGGAACAGTATATAATCAAGTTACGTTTATTTAAAATTGGTATGAAAATTCATCTCTCTCTCTCTCTGACTCTCTCTATATATATGCATTCTGTTTTGCCTCTAGTGTAACATTTTCTTATTTCTACATAGCATCACGTCCTGTTATTCCAGCATATAGTGCACCACAACACTATCACAGATATACCAGCGGTGAGTTTTGTTTTGAATTGTTACAGATAATGGATAGTGAGATCTGTGGTCTAAAACACTTAAGTTCTACAGTCTCCGAGACAGCATTCCATAGTGTGACCGATTTCCATCATAACACAGAGACATACCAGTAGTTCCCAGTTCAGATTTCATGATGAGCCAGCGTTTGAAGAGTTAGGAATGTGCTGGAAGGCTCCTGCTCTCCCTCTTCTCCTCTCGTATTCAAGTTTCCTTCTTTACTTTCTGGTTTTCTCTAACCTTGGTATGCCATGACATTCAAATTGGACAGCATTGCCATAAAGCCATAGTTTGGATAAAGGGCAGGATAGAAATTTAATAAATAAATAAAGTATCAGCCCTGTTAGACCCCCGTAGGCATTAACGCTTGGGTCGTTATAGGCATCCGATATCATCCCTGCATACCCTGTACACTCAGGTGTCATACACATAATTCATGTAATAAGTCTTAAATCATTATTATATCACATTAAAATCATTGTCAAATGCAACTCTCTTTCTTAAGCTATGACTATGTTGGGGTGTGTGTGAATGTGTTTGCTCCCAATTAGTAAAGCTATTTTTGTGAGCATAGGTGGATCTAGCATGCTTAAGGCAGAATTACATACTGTACTATGAAACAAGCAAGTGGTTCCTTACTCTCTGTTTGCCTCCTAACTCTAATTGGGGAGGAGCATTTGTCAGGGAGAATTGGCAGGTGGGAGAGGGTGGCGCCTAACCCTTCCAGAACTACTTTGTCCTTGCAAATCCCAACAATCCACTCCATACTCCTACTATTTCCCTTCTGCAAGGTTCTGAGGTTGGAAGTAAGACTGGTTGAGAACTAAGACCAGGAGGAGAATTTATTCAGGTTAGGCACCCGAGTATCAATTTAGTTTTACCCTGCAAAGATTCTACCCCCAGCCCCACCAATGTTCATGTTACTAAGGCAAACAGAGTTGTGAGGAACCACATCTGCTGCAGGAACATGTAGTTCCATCCAAACTTTGTAATGGATTGTGAACTTTTTCTGGATCACAGTAAGGGCATTACAGGCAGAGATAATTACTTTCCGCATTTCTGGAGTCTTTCAGTATTCTTTAGATGTGAAATGAACTCGTGATTTCAGAGAAAGATGAGTGATCTAATTGTAAATATCCATTTGCAGTCGATGCAGATCCACACTTCATTATTGATGTGCCCCAAAAAGAAGATGCTCTTTGCTTTAACATTAATGAAGAGCCAGGCGTTGTGTTAAACCTAATCAGAGACCCAACTACAGGTAAGCTTTTATCACACATGCTGAGCACCACTTGCCACTCTCTGAGTGCACAGCCTGCAGCCTTGAGCCACATGTAGCTATGAAAGTGCTCAGTAACACCCTTGCATGGGCTCCTCCTCCTCATCTCTTGGTTGCTGTGCAGTCCCATCCAGCTGGTACCTACAGCTACCCACCCACCCTCACATACACACACACATGCACCAGCATTGTTTTCAGCCAGTGTGGTGTAGTGGTTAAGAGCAGTGGACTAGTAATCTGGTGAACTGGATTCGCGTGTCCGCTCCTCCACATGCAGCTGCTGGGTGACCTTGGGCTAGTCACACTTCTCTGAAGTCTCTCAGCCTCACTCACCTCACAGAGTGTTTGTTGTGGGGGAGGAAGGGAAAAGGAGATTGTTAGCTGCTTTGAGACTCCTTCAGGTAGTGATTAAGCGGGATATCAAATCCAAACTCTTCTACTACTACTTTCCAATAGCTAGATGCACGTGGAGCCTTTTATCTCTGTTCTCACTACAAGAGGGAACCTGCAGGGTCTGACAGGTGCCTAAAGGTGGCTTGGGTGGGAAGTCGGTAAGGCCAGGGAAGTCGGTAAGGCCAGAATAACAGGATCTTCGATAGCTTCAAACTGAGACTTTTCTCCAACAGCAATCTGGGGTTCAGCTAAGGCCTTTTATCCTGCCCCCTTCCAGAAAAGTGGAGTTCCTTAGAAAGGTAGTCCTCAGGTAATTTTTTATATTGTGTAATTAGTTGTCCATAGAAAACTGCTCTTTTAGCTACCAAGGCTTATTTTTCTGAAGAATTTTTATTTACTTATGCCCCTCCTTCTCTTTTTAGGTATTACTGTTAATGGGCAACTTATTGGCGAAAAGAAGAGCAGTAATGATGTAGGGTCAATACACAATACCTATATTGGAAGACTTGGGATTCGAAATACACAGTTGAATGTAAAGCTTGAAATAACTCCTGAGAGTATCACTCTTCACAATGGCACAAAGCAAATGATGTTCACATGGCTTGATGAAGTCACCTTACTACATCCTAGGTAAAATTCATACACCAAACATGTTTTAAAATATATTTTTTTCTTAAGCAAAGAAACACAGATAACAGAAGACATAAAAGATAAGGAAGGACTGTAGCTCAGTGGCAAAGCATCTGCTTGGCATGCAGACTCAGGTTCAAGCCCCAGTATGTATGGGTAGGGCAGAGAATGTGCTTGCCTAAAATCCTGGAGAAATGCTGCCAGTCAGTGTTGACCAGCCTTTTTCAACCTCAGGTCCCTAGATGTTGTTGGACTACAACTCCCACCATTCCTTGCTAGCAAGACCAGTGGTGAAGGATGATGGGAGTTGTAGTCCAACAACATCTGGGGACCCAACGTTAAGAAATGCTGATGTAGACAATACTGAGCTATATGGACCACAGGCCTGACCCAACACAAGGCAGCTTCCTATTCTTAAATACACTTCCCCAAAGTCTTTTATTCGAGTTGCTGTAGCGATTTGTGGTGTTAACCATCGAATGTACCTGTTCATACTGTCTTTCTTTATCCAAACTAGTTTGACTTTGAAAATCATTCGGAAAAGAGCCTGGAATTTTCAATGGGAGAAGGAGCAACATTTATAGTGGTTTTGCATCAGTCATGGAGCAAACATGCAGTACATCCGAATTTTCTAGGATTTTACACGTTGGATAGTCACAGGTTGTCTGGGCGTACCCATGGTTTATTAGGTATGAATTTGTGAAATGACTGATATGCTGAACATGAAAAGCAATATTCGTTTTCCAGAAGTATGGAAACCTTATTTGAGTTGAAAACCTTTGGGGCAAGGAGTAAACCACAATGTGCAAATATTTAAACAAAGGAGGAAAGTAACAAGTTTGATAGATGGGAGGGGGAGAAGGATGGGGAAAATAAGATATTTGCTTCTTAGTAAGTTCTGCTGAGCAAAATAAAGCACCCTTTTCAGTAAACCTAATAAGATTAGGCTGTACATTTGTTTGTTTTGAAGTTTGGGGCCTCTTATGTGGATGTAATGCAGCTTCTGAACGTTAAAAATGTAAACAGTGCAGTGTTTTTCCTTAATTTCCCCCCTCTCAAGTGTCTTATAAGGATTGGAAATTTTTGCCTTGCCATCATTTTGCAAGCTAGGAAACAAGAGCTTAAATGTGCATAATGACCAGGTTTTCCTATCATTATGCCATTCATAGTGATAGTTACACAATTTTAGACCCTGGACATAATGGTCTGGAAGTGACTCTTTAAGATGTAATGTGTATTCTTTCACTTACTAGTACCAGTAATTCAGTTCCGCCATGGCTAGGGGCCTCCTACTCATTCTGCAGAGCGGGACCCTGGCCTTCTGCTTCCCAGTCCTGCCCTAATAGCACCACTGGACATCCATATATTTGGCCTCATTCCATGAAAAACATCCCAGTGGATACCTATATCTCTTATCAGTCCATAATGTTACAGCTACCACAAGAGCAATTGTATTTGACCAGTCTACAAACTAAATAAAACTAAGAAAGAGACCACGTTCCTAACTGGGGATGTTTGAGAAATTTGTTATTTGTAGATTCTGATATAAATTGACCTGATCTGTAGCTCCAGCTCTAATGGAGACTGGAATTTAGTTATGCATCAGCTTTCCTGCTTTCTGAATGTCCCTGACATGGTTCCCACTTTTGCATTTTTATTTTAACAAAATGAGTTTAAAAGTCCATGTTTTAAGAGAAAATGTATTTAGGCAGCAATGCTATTCACACATACTTTGGATGAATCAAGCTGCACTGTACTCAGTGGGACTTCTGAATAGATTTATAGGACTGCACTATAGATAGATCTGTCTATGCACTAGACATACAATGCATATTTTGAGAAAAAATGCATTTAAAAACACAAATTTAAATACATTTTTGGTGCAGAATCTAGTATTACATTAAGTGCCATGAGGAACTACTATTTTAATTCCAGTTCTAGATGATTGTGAAAGAACAATTGCCTCAGCACCACTGAAAGATCTTAGTGTGGAAGCAACTCAAACCCATAGTGATAATTGCTATTGCTTTTTTTACCCTTTAGGGCAGTTTTTCCACCCAATTGACTTTAATATACTTGAAGTCCACCCTGGGTCTGATCCTCAGAAACCAGATGCTACAATGATTGTGAAAAATAACCAGCTGACAGTAACCAGGTAAACAGCAATTCGGGTATCTGAGAAATAGTATTTTGCCTGCATGAAGCTCTGGCTTTTAATTTTAATAGTATGTATTTTTTCTTTTCTTTTTAGGGGATGGCAGAAAGATTACACAGAAGATGTAAAGCATGGTACAAATGTCCCTTGTTGGTTTATTCACAACAACGGAGAAGGTCTAATTGATGGCATATACACAGACTACATTGTTCCTAGCTTGTTTTAGAACAAGATATATTCATCTTTGGCTGCAACACTTTGAAGTGACAGAATATTTCAATATTATACCACTACTTACCACCCCCACCCCAAAAATGTCACCACAGATCAAGGTTTTTTGTGATTCCTGCTTGCCTACAACACAGGCACCCTAAATTTCTACAAAATATTATCAGAAGTAGGATGTGTACTCTACAAAGCTAGGGGCTGCTGTTTTCTCTTATTAGTAGAGACTGCTTTGGTGGGTAGTACAATCATTTCTTTTATGAGCACTCATTCTGATTTCTTCTCTTCATATTAAATGCAGCCATGATTTGCATCATTTAAATGTAGTGTTGATAGGAAGAAGTTCAAAGCAAAGGTATCAAAGCACTTCATTTTGTATAATCATTCCAACTGTGATTAAAACTGTGATTAAAATTTCAGTTTCAAGGTCATGATTCTTTTTGTGGAAAAGCGGCATACCATTAAAGCTATGAATGAATGAATGAATGAATGTGTGTTTTCTCTAGCCTCTAGCTAGTATAACAGCATGCTTGCAATCCCCTCTGCCAAAAAAATGCTCCAGGGGGTTCCCCAACCCTCTGGAGCAGACTCTGAAGGCGCACAGGGTGCTGGAGAAAAGGGGGAAAGATCCGTTGTACAAACAGAAATCTGTTGCACAAGTGGAATGGCAGTGTTGGATACAACCCATAAACTTTTGTTTTCTTTGGTACAAATGGAAGGTTGCACTGCTGCATGTTCTATCTGCTGAACATGTTGTATGTTTATTGGTCAAGCGATTGGTGCATCATGTAAAAATATATATGTACCAAATAGCTGAAGCAGATTCCACATTTATCCCTTTCAGCAGATACCAGGTCAAAAGATACTGGATTTTCAGCTTGTAGTGTCCTAATCAACCCTCAGTGCTGGTTTTTTGCATGCCCAATGGTGACTTTGGCATCATATACTACTCTCACAGCGATGTGGATAGCCGTAGTTGACATTCTGACATTGCAAAAGCATGTTAAGAAGCTCTCATTTTCAGGCATACTTAATGCACATGAGACATACTGTTTTTTGTATAATATACCCCATTTGGATATTCACATCATAGGGAAATTATTGGAGGCGTTGATGGGTTAAGGAAGTACCTGAGAATACAGACAGGTATAAGTGTCACTGTACACGAAATTACACTAAAGTAATGATTTAATATTCTAGTACAGTTCTAGCTCTGACTGGTTTGGACCTCTATATCTCCTCTCAAAGAAGAATTGTGATTCCTTTTTCAAAGTATTTATGAACCTAAGGTTTATGCTGAGGTAAACTAGGTGATTCCCCAAGGACACATGGGGAGCAAAGTTCCTGGGTATACTTTAAAAAATCATTTAAAAGAAATCCATATTAAAGTAGTGACTCAATGTCTGCATCACATTTCCCGTTACTCATGGAGCAGTAAGTTAAAACCGAACGTGCCTGTACAGTGGAGTATTCTAGAAAATGGCACCACTGACTAGCTAACATTCCAAACAAGAGCACTTGGGTTCATACTTGTGATATACTAACAGTGAACTCATCTGGATTTTGTCATAAATCCAATTTACGCTATTGCTTACAAGTCCCACCTAGTAAAGACATAGAATTTTGATGTAATTATGGGTTAATCCCAAATAAATTTACTAAGCATTTGGATGCACGTCCTACTGAATGCAGCAAAATTTACTTCGAAGTAAACATTATGTAGGATTGGAGTGTAATCCAATGCACACAAGAATCTAAAGGCACGCAGCATGATGTCAAAGAACAAGGGAGCAACCCTTTCAAAGCAGAGGAGACATCTGCCCTGAACTTCAAAAAAATCATGCTCCAAATTAATCCCATCCCCCTCACCAAGGTTCAGGTTAAGGCAGTGGTTCCCAAACTGGTCCTCACTAATATTCAAATTTCATTGTGGTGGTCTGTGACACGTCCATGTTATCCATATTGATTTTTAAAGCTACACTTTTATTGCTTCTTATATTGTATTTTTACTACATTGCAATTTGAATTCTATGGAATTAAAGTTGTAATGCAATAAAATAGCATAACATAAGCAGCAAAGAAAGCAATTGAGAATCGTCGCAATCGAAGAAGTCGTTACACTCCATCGCTACCAAAAGCAACGTCAAACAAATTAGTTCAGTAGAACTGAAGCCAAGACTCTCGGCTACTTTCAAGTGGTCCGTGAGAAACAAAAGCTTGGGAACCCCTGATCTGCCGGAATCAGACACAGCAGCGGCACGTCAGACTTTCGGCGAGACGAAAGCGGGTTCAACCCACCCGCGCGAGACAGGCGCCAACGAATTGGAAAAAAGGAGCATGCGCAAGTCAAGGAATGTTGCCCGGGTCCAAGATGGCCGCTGCAGCGACCAGGATCACTACCATAGACAGCAAGGCGCTCTTTTTTGTCTTTTCCTTTCCCTTCCCCACCGAAGGAGGGTGCTCTCTATGGTCTCCGGAGGTTTTGTAGCTCTATCTCTATGGCATCGGCTGCCGCGTCCTTGCGGTTGGCGGGCGGGGGGCGGCTTCCGTAGGCGCCCCTCCTCCCGTGCCGGCCGCGGGACCCTGCGAGGATGCCCGTCGGCGAGTACGCTTTCGTGAGGGCCGTGGGGAAGGGCAGCTACGGGGAAGTGAGCCTGGTGAGGCACCGGCAGGACAACAAACAGGTACGGAGGGCAGCAGCCCGAGAGGAGGGGGTCTGAAATGGGGTCGGGCAGCAGGGCAGCATTGACGAGCCTTTGCTATGACTTTGCGAAAGCAGCGCAGGTGAACATCCAGGAGGTGTCGGGCTGCCTCTGTCTTGCCCTCCGTGCCCGCTCTCCATGCTGGCTGGACTGACGGGAGTTGGGAGCCCAACACACCTGAAGGGCCGCAGGTTTCCCACCCGTCAGGCAAAGGTGGAAGAAGAATCTTTATTTGCATCAGCCACAGCAATAAAATAAAATAAAACGTACAGTGAAGATAGAGGTAAAAGCTTAACTCTAGAAAATGCATTAGATCTTATTCTAATTGCCCCCGCTAAAAACAACAACACCTTGCAGTTTTTGCTGTCATCTTGATCTGCTGAAAGAAACGACACGGTAGCAATGGTTGAGCGACCTGGTAGAGGAGTAATAACCTCACTCCTCAATCAGGCAATAGATAGTTGGTGAACAAGAGGGGCAGTAAGGGAGGGGAAACCCCAGTGAAGAGGGTTGTTGTGTTAGGGTGATATTGAGCGCTTGCGATTCATTATTTCGCAGGAGTTAAGCAGCTGAAAATCTGACAGTTGTTGCATTTTGAGGGTGCTGCGTTGACATTCTTTTATACTTTCATTTCCATCTTGCACCTTGTTGGTTAAGTTGCAAAAACGTCTCCTCAGCATAAGCTGCTTTTGGGGACCTTCTTGGATCTGATGATACCACAGGGCTTTATTAAATGAATGTAGCATTCATTTATAACATATTCTAAGTCAGTTACAAAAATATATTTTTCCCCTGAAATGCCTAGCCTATGGAATAATTGCACGGATTCTAACAGTGCGATCCTATGCATGTCTATTCAGAGGCAAGTCTGACTGTATTCAGTGGGGCTTCATCACAAGGGTATGAGATTTCAGCCTATGTTAGAGTCAGTGCAACTGGATTGGGACCACTGCCTTCAAGTATAACTTTGGGATCAATCCAGAAAATGTTAGCAGTGCTTCAAGTTATGTTGACGTTAGTTGGACAACTTAGTTGCAGTTAGCTTAAACTCCATTGATTGTAATAGTAAAAGTAATTAGATTTTCTGGACTGAGGCCAGTATGAGGATAAAGGTTCAATTAAAATTAGTTGGACTTCTACAGAATAGACTTACATGCTGGATTTTTAAACCTACTAAATATACTTGTGATTGTTTTTAACTTCAAAACTTTTTTTTTCATTTCTGCAGTATGTTATCAAAAGGCTGAACCTTAAACATGCCTCAAGTCGTGAGAGAAAATCAGCAGAACAAGAGGCCCAGCTGCTGTCTCAGCTAAAGCATCCTAATATAGTCACCTATAGGGAGTCCTGGGAAGGGGAAGATGGCCTCCTATACATTGTCATGGGCTTCTGTGAAGGAGGGGACCTATATCATAAGCTGAAAGAACAGAAAGGAAAGCTTTTGCCTGAAAGCCAGGTGGTGGAATGGTTTGTTCAGATTGCTATGGCTTTGCAGGTAATAATAATAATTTTATCATTTATACCTCGCCCTTCTGGCTGGGTTTCCCCAGTCACTGTGGGTGGCTTACAGCATATCTAAAAACTTAATAAAAACATCAAGCGTTAAAAGCCTCTCGATACAGAACTGCCTTCAGATCATAGCTGTCAACCTTCCCTTTTTTGCGGGAAATTCCCTTATTCCAGCGCCATTTCCCGCTGCTTCCTGCTGCTATCCTGGATTGTTAGATATCCCATAGACTGTCCCCGGTACAAGTGAGGCTGCTGATCCCTTATTTTCGAGGCTGCTGATCCCTTATTTTGAAATCTGAAAGTTGACAGCTATGCTTCAGATGTCTTCAAAAAGTTGTGTAATTCTTCATCTCCTTGGCATCTGAAGAAGGGTGCCACTACCGAGAAGGCCCTCTGCCTGGTTCCCTGTAACTTTGCTTCTCACAGTGAGGGAACCAGCAGAAGACCCTCAGAGGTAACGTAACTTGCAATGAAACAGTTGATTCTTACTTTCTCTCTTAAATTTAAATAAACCCTTCCTAGAATTTTGGCATGACTTGAACCTCTTTTAGACTGTAATCCTTTAATAAGATATAGCAACGTAGTAGGTAAATGTATTATTGCCACCTATGCATGCTTCTAATCAATCTAGAATCTATCTTTTCTAACATCCTGGCTGTTTTAGTAGTATGTGTGTAGAACAGAAAAGTGTGGAGTCTTTCAAATATTCTTGGATAGTCTTGATCCAGTTAGACTAGTTAACTCTTTTTTTTGACTTGAGGTCCACATTCAGCCTTTGTCAACCCTCTGAGGGCCACAAGCCATCATTAGGTTGAGCCACCCCCAGTCACATGCACATAGTCTCTTCTCAGTTTATCCATGCAGATTAGCTGAGGAAGGAGCTTATTGTTCCCTCCCCACTCATCAAATGATGGGCCTGATGACCAGTGGGGAAGCATTTTGCCTCTACATTAGGGAGCTGAGTTGTGCAAAGGTGTTGAAACCTCTCCACCCACTTCAGTGCTGTGTCTACTTTAAATTATTTTCCAGATGTTGGACTCCCATTAACCTCAGCCAGCATGGTCAGTCATCTAGACCATGCAAAAAAATTTGGCCGTGGCATCACTTTTTCTCTTTTTTTTAGTAGACACATTACTGAAGGGGGTGAGAGCCACACTCACTGATGGGGATGAGAAAGAATGGGGCAATAACTCCTTCCTTACCAGACCTGCAGGG